ATATAGTTGATTTATTTTCTAATGTAAAAGCTTTTTATTATCCTTTAAGACTAGATTTTAAGAAAAAATTACTGTTCTCGTTTAATTGGCTCATTTATACATCAAGTGTCTCGAATCCTCCATGAAGGTCCAAGTTCCATGTCTTGAGCCAACGAGGATAGCATTATGGCATCGGGTGATTTTTAGATTTTATCTTAGTTTTCTCTGTACTCAATGATCTCGTCCAGTCAATGGATTTCAAAATTTCTTAATTATTTGCGGTCGTGGTTTGGTGATCTGAGTTCGACCAAAGTCATTTGATGAACCCACTAAGGAGCATATGATTTTGGTCTACCATCTCTATCCAAAGTGAAGTACACGCAGCTCCAGAACAGACAAAAGCCCGGCCAAAAATGGAAGTTGCTTACAAAACATTAATTCTCCAGAATGGGGACCGCTGTCTTGACGCCAGACGTATCCCCTCAATACAAAAGACATTCCACCCCGCATCAGCATCAAACAACTGCTTGAAAAAGGGGTACGGAAACCACTTACGCCAGGTCAAGCGAACACCGCCGAAACGGCCAATCGAGGATTTCCTGACTTCAAACAGCGCAACGCGGTCTAGGTCTATCGGGCGAGCGGTGTTCCCTCTCTCCCGTCTACATCAGCAGAATTCCCAAAGGAAGGATTTTATTGCACGATAGTGGGCCACCGATTATTGCGGCCAAAAAAAAAGTATCGAAAAGAGAAATTCAAGCAACGGGCGGGGCCCGTTGACATCCCGGCAGGACACACGCATAGGGCTCCACAGCATTCTCAGACGCTTAGAGCATCAACGCAAGGAGCCCGGCAAAACCAGCCGCGCCGACAGCCTTCTTGGTGGCACCGTTGAACGAAGAGATGGAAGGCGCCACGGGGCTCCTGGTGTTGGTGGGCGAAATCGTGCTGGTGGCCATGGACGACGGCATGTACGAGCCCGTCTCCATGCTCAGACAGTCGACCGTGTACGTGATGACCGTCTGGGTGGTGTACGTGACCGTCTTGGGCTCGCAGGGCACGGTGGCACACGAGGTCTCCGTCACAGTCACGGTGCCGGTGCTGGTGGTCGTGTACACGGACTTGGTCATGGTTCCGTTGCTCCACTTGTTGTAGCCAAAGCTCACATATGCACCCGCAGAGGCCGCGGCATGTGCCTCGTAATGGACGGGCTGCTTGTAGATCTCAATTGGCTCGGCGTCCGCGGGGACAGAGCCATCGGTCGAGATCTTGACGTCGCCCGACGCAGACGCGTAGGCCGTCAAGCCCACGACTTTGCCGTCAGAGTCAAAGTGAAACACAAAGCTGGAAGAAGCCTGGGCATGGGCACTGGCAGCACCGTTGGCGGGGGCCCCGCCTTCCTGGTGGATGCTGGCGGCAGCGTCGGCATTGGCCGCGGCCTCCAAGGACACGGTCCCGTCCTTCTGGTCAAAGTGGGCAGGCTCGCCGCCCTTTTTGACCACGAGTCTCAGGGAGCCGTCGGCGCCAGTGACAACCTCAAGGGAGCCCTTGACTTCGGCGTTGGCAGACGCCTTGACAACAAGAGCAACCTTGTCGTCCTGTGGGGGGTGGTCTGGGGCAGCGGACATGGAGCTCATGGCGTGTGTGACCGAGGACCCTGGGTGGAGGCTGGCCATGGACTCCATGTGCGAGGACGTCATGGGAACAGGGTGGCCGTGGGTCTCGCTGATACAGTCGGACATGGAGTCGTAGACATCGTCATGCATGTCACCGTGCTCCATGTCACCGTGCTCCATTTCACCGTGCATGGGAACGCCACTGGCTTCAGGGCTGTCCCACATCTCGGCCATGACACTGGCAACGGACACGAGGGAAAAAGCGAGAGTAGTGAGTTTCATTGCGAGTTGATTGGTTTCTTGTTGAGGGAGGAAAAAAAAAAGAGACTGCCGGACTCCGCGGACTGGGGCGCCTTAAATGCAAATCGGGGCCCCTGCTGGCTACACGGCACACGGCCAGTTTTGCTCCTATTTGGGGCTGGACTTACCCCGCTGCCACGGGATGCATGGGTCCTATTGTTCCGCCGGTCAAAACGCCCGCGTCTAGGTTCCATAATTTGCACCCAGTGCGCGGCTGCTCAGCCCAGCCACGGCGGCCTGCATGCAGGCGCGCATGGGCAGAGGCCCCAGACGGGTTCGGGAATGTCGGCCGGGGCTCGTGTGGTTTGTTGTTCTTCGGCCCAAAGCAAAACACGCCTTGCGGATGCTGGCGGATCGCCTGTTTGTTTACACCTGCGGAAAACCGTGTCGTGTGGCCGGCGCTTTTTGCTAGCGCATAAACTGATCTTCTGCACTAGACCAAGACTTGGGTCCAAGCGCGCTCACCGGTTGCAAGCCTCTGGTGAAGAAGCCTGTCGGAAAAATCCCCAGCGCCCGGCCCAAACACTAGATCTTCTTATGAAACACCACATCACCAGGAGTCGTGCCAGAAACCCGCTCTCAGCCCACTCGCAGAGCAAGCATATTGTGGGCCTGGCCAGAAAGCCAAAAATGGCCTAGCCGATTCTGCATGGCCCGTGCCCGGCTTCTTCGGTCCACCGGGTTGCTCTTGCCAGGTGAATCCTGTTGCGCCCCACTGGCGGCTATGTGCAATCAGCGCTCTTTGCAAAATCCCAAATTTGTTTATTGCGCGATGTTTGCTCATGGCCACAATCTATAGGGTTTGGCGCGGATATGCTCCATTGTTCGAACGTAAACAAGCCGAGGGAAACGAAATGAAAAAAACTCCAAAGAGGAAAGATGTGCTCTCCTGGTTTTTTCTTTCGTGGTGGCCAAGCAAACATCGGCGAGACCAGCCATTCGTTCTATTGTTGCACCTCATGTGCAGAATCGGCGCCTATTGTTCTTATTGCTCTTCTTGCCCGAGACGCGCTTTGGGATATTTATAGACTTTGGCCAAACCTCTTTGGGCTGCTTTCTACACGGTTCTTGAAAACGCTTTTTGCGCCTGCTAAAGCTTATTCGTCCTTGAGGCGTCGAAGGAAGTCTTGGTTCATGAGGGCATGAGTGGGATTGGTACTTTGCAGTCACACCGAGCAACTTCCGCATTTCCATTGGAATATGGTGGAGGAAAACCATGTCATTTTCCAGTCAACAAATTTAATAGAGGAGCATTCTTGCTCAGCCGCATCTCCTTTATCGTATTGGCCTGTTGAGAAAAAAAAATATGTGTTCGTCTCCCGACGCGCGAGTACCAGAAATCATGCTGGATACTCGTGTTTGGAAAAGCAAACAAAAATACTTTTGTTTACTTTCTATCTACCTTCTAGAATGCACGCCTGAAAACAGTTATGTCCGTTGAATAATAATCAGCCAAAAGCCACCAAACATGCTCATCACATAGTCGCAATCTCGATTCAAAAAAATTAAGAGAAATCATCATATTATTGCAATGCGGAACAATAGAATATTCTACTTACGTCTCGAATACCCTCGATTGGGAAATTGAGCAAACATACCTCTTGGTATATTTCCAAGAGCTTATTTGCTTCTTAGCGCGTCGTACTTCAAAACTGCTCCCAAGAGAACTCGAAAACCTTCGTCCACTTGTTCCGGGGTGCTGTACTCCTCGAAATTATGGGACACTCCGTCCTGGGATGGAATAAAAATCATTGCAGTAGGAATGCGAATAGCCGTAAGGCCTGAGTCGTGGCCTGCTCCACTCACTATAGGAATGGACTGGTTTTCCCCAAATAGCTCGTTTGAGGACTCTGTGATACATTTCATGCAAGTCTCGTCAAAATGAATCGCACGCTGATTCACAAGCTCTTTCAAGCTGAAGCTCAATCTCATGCCGCAGCTGCTCGCAATTTTCTGGAGGCTTTCGCTGAGCTCCCGGTACATGACATCTAGCGTTTCGTCAAGCTGGTGTCTAATATCAATGACAAAGCGCACCTTCTGCGGGATCACATTAACCACTGCGGGCTCAATCTCCAAGATTCCACAACTAAACAAGCCACCGTATTTCTTGGCAATTTCATTTCCCCTGACCACTACTTGAGAGGATGCAAGTAAGGCATCTGATCGTGAGCGAAGAGGCGTGGTGCCAGTATGTTGCGCCTTGCCGTTCATAGTAATCTCGATCCATCTGAGAGCCTGGATCCCCTGCACGCGGCCTATCTTTTTGTTTTGCTCCTCAAGAATAGGACCTTGCTCGATGTGGAGCTCAAAATGTGCTTCCAACGGATTGGCCTCGTAGGAGCATGGAATATCACCCAAATACCCTATGCGCTCTAGCTCTTCGCGTACCGAAACTGGGACTTTGTCTGTCACAGACTCCATTTTGTAGACTTCTTCGAGATCTGCCGCACCTGCCCAAACTGAAGAGGACATCATGCTCATGGGAAATCTGGCACCCTCTTCGTTCATCCAGTCTACCACGCAAATGGGGTAATTAGGAACAAACCCATTTTCTTTCATGGTTCTCAAGACTTCCAAGCCACTGAGTACACCCAAAATCCCATCGTATCTTCCTCCAGTGGGCTGAGTATCCAAGTGCGAGCCAATGCCTATTGGCTTGCCCTCGTTTTTTCCTGGAAAAACACCAAATATATTTCCCAAATTATCAATTTTGACTGTGCATCCAAGGCTCTTCAACTCGGCCACAAACCAGTCTCTAACCCCCTTGTCTTCATCAGATAATGCCAAGCGGCAAACTCCAGTCTCAGTATCTCTAGAGCCCCACTTCCCTTTTGGGCCAAAGCAGCCAGAAGTTTCATGGATCGTGTCGATCAAACGGTTTTTCTTGATTGCGAAAGCTGAAGCACTGGTAATCAGTGTTGACAGAGGCATGATGCTGTTTTGATTGCTTAGAAATGAATAAGAGAGTGAGGGGGATAGTCGGTAAAACCATGATGCCCTGGAAGTACCCTGGCTTTATATGAAGCGTATCGGCGTCCCCAGACTTGGCCTTCGGGTTACCCGATTAGGAAACGCGACTCGCTTTCCCCTCTTGACACCTCTGATAAGACACGAGTCGCGCTATCCCCACTGTCAGCCGGTCCCGCCTATTGATCATGTCGAAAATCAGAAGCACAAAATCGCGACTGTCTCAATCTGTAAAATGTATGTAGATCTAGTTGCAGACTTGATCCAACACGGTGGTATCAAACATGAACTCAAACGGCTCTTCGCCCTCGTAAAGCTCCCACAAGCCGTCCAAGTAATTTAAGATTTGGACGATGATTTTCGACTTCGACCTCACCAAAAGATCCCCGAGGCATTTTTTAAAAAACGCTTGGTCATCGGGATCCAAACTGGTGCTTGCTGCTATCATAAGGGACCATATCGGTAGAATGGTGTTGCTATTGTGCGGCTGGTCTATATCGGCCCGAATGGCCTTGACGAGGTGCTGTAAATCCCGTGCTCTTACAGAGTCAAAATCAGTGATTTTCAGAAGAAGAATGAGCGAGGTGTTGAGAACGACCTTGGCGATGGACATTGTGGCTTTGACGTTCAGGTGACAGTATTCCTCAGCCTCATTTTCAAACGATAGGAGAAGCGCCTCGGCGAGCTGCATAATTTCCATGTGTAAGAATCTTCCGTCTTCATCGAGCGGGAGCTTAAGCCGACACAGCCAGGCGCATTTGGCTGCTATCTGGAACGCAAGCATTGACCGGTACTTGTATCGATCGATGCTGTCGTAGAATATATGAACGAGTTTGGTGCGAGCCGCATGGAAAAACACGAAAGGGGACGGTACGAGTTCAGGTAGTTGTTTATGATCGCAGAAGAATATTGTGATCGAGTAGTTGAACAAGAAGTTCTCCAACATGATTTTCTCGAGCATCAGGAATGGTTTCTGCGAGGAAATGTTGTTTCTGTCGCTTGAAAGACGGAGAGATATGATCTTGTGTGCTGCTCCAAAGTGAGCGGCACATCTTGTGGCATTGGAGTCGGCAAACATGTCACGGAGGCACAAGATCTGGAGTACCTGGACAGCCACAAAAAACCACACCTCGCCCCCCTGGATCTTTCCAAGCTTCAACTCGGCAAGGTAGAAATTGATGGCTTTCGTATACCGCTCCTGTGCCATATGACGGTGTTGCTCATTGTTGAAGGCAATGATCGATGCCCCACATGCTATGAACACCTCCTGAAGTAGCGGAGATTCCTTTGCGGCAGCTAGCACTAATTCCAGACACTGTCTCTTGTCTTGAAAATTGACCTGCGCTAGCGTGGGAAGGAAACTGTGGATGAATACGGAAAGGAAATGCGTATCCATTTGGGACCGCGGCTCTTGGAACACATGTTCGGACGACAGGCTGCTGGTGCTGGAGCTATCATTATTCATGGATCGAAGTTTTAGCTCCTGTTCACCCGGCGTATCATGAGCATGTCCTGTGGAATCTGCATGCTGTGTGTCCTTGAAATTAGGCATATAACTGGATGCCAGCGCAAAGGCAATACCCAACGTCTCAAAAAACACGGATCCGGGCGAAAATCCTCGTGCCTGTTCTGCGGGTTGTAGGTCCTGTGTTTCCTCTGGGGGAACGCCTCCCGCTAATTCAAATACAGAGGATAGATCGTGGGACCTTGGTGCCGCAAATTCGGGCAGAGATACATGGTCGATTTCCCGGCTACTGCTTAATTCCTGGTTGATTACAAAAGCCATTGATCTCGGATTTAGCGGCGGGCCGCCTTGCAAATACTCAGGTGTTGGGGAAGAAAACGGCTCTTTTTCTCGTGTTGCTAAGCCAGACTGCGGGCGCATCAGGTCTTTGTCTGCATGGGCCTGCTTTTTCTCAGGCCATGCACATTTCAAGTGGCTTTTAAGGCAGTTTCTACACTGCGATTTTGTCTCGTCACATTTGATCTTCTTTTTCTTGCAATTCAAACAGCCTAGAAGCGAGCGCCTGTATGCCCTCCGGGGTTTTTTCTGCTCCAAGTCACGGGCGTTTAGCTGAAACACCGCCTGGTACTCTCGGTACAAATCGACTCCCGTCTTGGAAGGCCCGGACATGGTCAGTGAGTGCTATAGAATTCTGGACTCTGTCTTATCTCAGATCGGCCTGCGGGCGTGCACGTGACCGCAGTCGAGTCCAACAAGCCTGATTAGAACCGCGCCGCTTTGCAAAGCAATGAGTCTGCTGTTGGGTAGCACGGGGCTCCTGTTGCAAAATTAAGGATTCCTCAATTAACTGGTACTCCATGACCAATCTTTTTCTCCTTCTTCTTTTTCCCGTTAATGTGGACCATGTTCCGGAATTGATACCTTCTACGCTCGGCGGCATTTATTTAGACACGGTGCTTGAACATTCAAGCCACGTGAGCCCACTTGATAAACGCCCTTTTTATAATCAGCTAGAGTCGCCGCTCATAATTTGATATTTGAATCGATCGAGGCTTTCGTGCTGAAAAGGTCTGCCCCGCTCATATGCCTGGAAAGCCATGTCCATGACATGGATATGCCTGTATAATGGCCCAAGATACGCGGGCACCCGTACACCGCGCGGTGGCTTATCTGCCCTTGGTTTCGAGCCGCACTCTCCATGACTCCCTTCACGATCACATTGATTCTCATATAATTCAGTTGAATATGGGTGATTTGGTCGCCGAAAAAAATGATCGGTACGATTCTTCCCAAATCAGTAATTTTTTTGGTGTGGGAAAGTTCGCCAGGGGCTTGCTCTTGGCAATCGCTCTAGTCACGGTGACCTTCAAATGTACATTGCTCAGATCTCGCGAAATCGAAAACCCAGTGGACATTATCTTGGACGCTTTGCAAACCAATTGCGCCGCGGAATGGTCTCGTAAGTACACTTCTGAACCACATTTACCGGGCACCAATTTCGGGCTTGCTCAGTGGACGAAAGACAAGTTCGACGAGTACGGCTGGAAAACCGAAATTGATACCTACGACGTCTATGTTAGCTACCCCGAGGGCCACGACTTGAATCTTCTTGAAAATGGCGAATTAATTTATAAAGCTCCGTTGAGGGAGGACGCAATTCCCGAAGATTCCACCAGCGCGGGAAACGACACTGTACCCACATTCTTGGCATATGGGGCCAACGGCAATGTCACTGCCGAATACGTCTATGCTAACTATGGCACCAGGGACGATTTCGCCATGTTGAAGAAACTAAATGTAGACATCACAGGCAAGATTGTTGTCGCACGCTACGGAAGCATCTTTCGTGGATTGAAGGTTAAGTTTGCCCAGGAGAACGGCGCCATCGGACTCTTGCTTTACAGCGATCCTGGGGACGACCATGGTATTACTCCAGCAAATGGCTATAAGCAGTATCCACATGGGCCAGCCAGACAAGAATCCTCTGTCCAAAGAGGTAATGTTCAATTTGCCGGTGGAGTAGGTGCCACGCCTGGGGACCCCACTACTCCTGGCTATGCCTCCAAGGGCCTTGTTGAGAGAAAGGACCCACATACAAGCATTGGGAGGATCCCAGTGCTACCCATTTCTTATCGTGAAGTAAAACCGATCTTGGAGAAGTTGAATGGAAACGGGAAAAAAGCACCCGAGGCCTGGGTTGGGGAGCTCGAGGGTTTTGAGTACAACATTGGCCCCAGCCCTAACGTGACTTTGAACCTATATTCCAATCAGATCTATAATATCACCCCCTTGTGGAACGTATACGCAGAAATTGAGGGGGAGAACAAGGACGACGTCATTATCATTGGCAACCATCGCGATGCTTGGATCAAAGGCGGTGCTGGCGATCCCAACTCGGGATCCGCCGCCTTGATTGAAATCGCAAGAGCCCTTGGCTCGTTGAAGCGAGCGGGGTATAAGTTCCAAAGAACCATCATCTTACAAAGTTATGATGGCGAAGAGTACGGGCTTTTGGGCTCGACTGAGTTCGGCGAATATGCTGCCAGAAGATTGCAGAAGAACGTCATTGCTTATTTAAACATGGACTCTGCTGCCATCGGCCGGCATTTGAGGTTGAAAGCCTCACCTGTTTTGAATCGAGTGTTGAGAAAAGTTGCAAAATGGTTGCCATATCCGGGAGAGACAGCCGACTCTCTCTACGACCATTTTTTGGGAGAGCGGGGAGACAGAATTCTTAATTTGGGATCCGGCTCTGACTATACTGTTTTCTTGGAGCATTTGGGTATCCCTTCTGCTGACATCAGCTTCGTCCAAGGAAAGGGTGATGCTATTTACCATTACCACTCCAACTACGACTCTTATGACTGGATGGAGAAGTATGGTGACAAAGGTTTTGTTTATCATAACGTGGCTGCCAAGTACTTGTCGCTTATAGCGTTGGATCTCACCAAACACAAAGTCATTGACTTCTCGATATGCGACTATGCGAAGGACCTAGTGACTTACTACACTCAGCTTGAACAAGAAATACCCAAGGAGTGGTACCATAAGCCAGTGACCAACAGAGCCACGAGGGAATATCTCAGTGGCGAAGAGCAAAACGAAAAGTTCATTTCGGATATCAGTGAGAAAGTGTTTTTCACAAAGGAAAGATACGTGTTCCCCGAGTTGATGACTCCGGTGCAGTGCTCACATAGTAAACGAGTGAATATGCTCCGCCCCGAAAGCCACGGGAATCTTACTTTTGGAGACGTTTTCTGGCACGCCAAGAAAAAACTAGAAGAATTTGTGGAAGTCGCAAGCAACTTTGACGAAACTAGCGAGGCCCTTCAGGCCCAATACAACAAAAGGCACGCTATGGCATGGTGGCTGCGCATCAAGCTCCATTTCCAGGTCTTGCACCAGAACATGCTCCTCAAATACTTCGAAAGGAACTTCTTGTACACAGGCGGACTACACGAGAGAAGCTGGTTTAAACACATTGTGTTTGCGTCAGGAAGGTTTACTGGATATGCCGGTCAGACGTGGCCAGGAATCAGAGAGGCTATCGAAGATGATGATATAGACAGGGCAGTCAAGTGGGTAGGACTTGCAGCCAAAGCAGTGAAGCGCGTGGCCGTTCAGATGAGGTAACACCAATATATGGCTTTTAAACGAGCACGGATCACAGCATTCTAGTGTGTTTCACAAGAATATTTTGCGAGCATGCTTCGGCTTGAATACTTACTCTTGGACTGCACCAACTGGGACCCTGCGCTAGAACTGGCCCGTTTTACAGGTATGCAAGGACAAGAGACTCTAATGTTTTGACTGCATATTACGCCTCATGACGTCATGACACCAACCGCTCGAAGGAAAACCGCGCGAACAGGAGTCTAAAAATTTGAACGTGGATCAACACAATACCCGACCGGCGTTTCATTCAGGCACGCCTCTTTCCTACAAATCATCTTCAATCGTCTGACAGATTACACACTCTTTCTCCCTTTCCCGTCTCTCAAATATCACACAAATGTCGTTAGTTCCATTAGCTGCTGCTCCAGTATTTCTCCAATTGGGACTTGCCTTGGCGGTTAACGGTGGTTTGGGTTCCGGCGGCGATCTGGACGATACAACTACAAAAGCCACAACAACGGCAAACGCAAACACAAACACAAACACAAACACAAACACAAACACAAACACAAACACAAACACAAACACGCAAACTGGAACGACTACGGCAACAACCGGCGCCACAACTAACACCATAAATGGTGTCACAACAGGAGACACAACTAGCACCTCTTTTGCTACCGCAGGCACCGAAACACAAATTTCTTACAACCAGTGGGGGTTCACAGGGTCACAATCGATTTGGCTATATACTACATCGACGCTGCTGGGCTCCGCGTCGGCAAATCTGATATCGAATTCCGCATCGCAATCGTCTTCGGCATCGCAGTCTTCTTCCTCATCCAGTGCCAACAAATCAGCACCATTCACCGCCAGGAAGGGGTGGAAATCAACTGCCGCGATTGGTGCCGTCTTTGCAGTGACAGTAGGGCTTCATTGTATTTGAGTAGAAAGAAAAGTGGGGTTTTCGGGCCGTAATTTCCATTAAGCGGGGTTAAAGAAAAAGATAAGTCTGAAGGCTCTAACCTTACACTCAAAAAGCACTGCAACTCGCCTGGTGCTGCTTGTGATGCAAAGCCATGGTGAGTGAATTGCTACTCCACGCATTAGTTCATAGAATTATCAGATGTATTTGATTGTTGTGCCGGGAAATCAGAATAAACAGCAGTAGAAAGCAGGGGAAATTAGCAGAAGTGTACACAAAATTTTTGTGTCCACCTATTCCCAGAAATACTCGAGTCTGCTTCTATCGGTGCCGACCTGTGGACAGATTTCTGTGGAATCTAGCTTGCCGAATGCTACTGGTGCTTTCAGTTTCGACCGACAAATTCGGGAGTATAATGTTTTTTGTCTTGTCAATCTATCTGTCGCTTAGGATTAAACTTACTAAAAGGTAACCGACTTATTGTATAGATTCTCGATCATTGAGTAATCCCGAATTATGTTTACATTCTATAAAAATTGAAACCCTGTTCTCAAATCATTAAATATGCAATTTTGTTACAAAAAAATACTTTATATGACTCAATTCAATTCATGCTCTGCTAAATATCTTTCAAAGCCAGGAATCAAGGGAGTATTGACTAAAGACAAAAAACTAGTCAAGATCCAATTGACCTGACCATGTTCAGCCCATTTCACACTGCTCACGACTATGGGATCGCTCTCAGACCATTGACATTGTGCAGGTTGAGCCGAGGAAAGGCCACCCGAAGCACCTTTCAAAACCCCAAAACCACAGGGAATATATGAGGATACTGCTACATTTAAGCTTCTGATTAATGCCTCTGACAAAAAGCATATTTAGGATGATTCTCGCAGATATATGTTCGGTGCTATGTCTTCTGATCGGCCCCGTGAGCACCAAAGAGAGAAAGCCGAATGACGCCTGCATATACATATTTCTTGGTCTTGTTTGCAGAGAGTGTGGATTTTTATACCATGTCTTTTCAGCACTCCGTAGTAGGATATTAGTGCCCAACAAGTCATTTTCAGTATATCTGTCATTGTTTCTGACTAACCTCTCTAAATGATGTAGTGTAAGTAGTGAAATTTCTTGTAGTGTATTGATACATGGGAATTGACTCTTCTGTTGAGCATGTCGTTGCGAAAAAATCATATACATCCGAGCTCTTTCATCAGAGGGATCAAAATTTGGCGTTTTGAAGAAATGCGGATATTTTAAGATATCAAAACATATTCTTTAGAGCTCACACAACGAGCAGCGGGTCTATCCAGTTTAGTAAATTCAAATAATAAATCTGGGATGAATTTTGCCACGGGCCAATCATTCAAATCCGTGCACTGAAGATTGGATTATAGACGTGTGGAGAGTAAATTAAATATTGAGCTGTATTTTCAGGCGATTGCGAGATTAAGTTCTTTACATAAGACTAGTCTGATTCAATTTAATGATGTATTCCTTTTTAGGGCAGAGGATGAACGAAAAATTCCAGTCCAGTCTAAAACTAACCGTTTTCGGATCATGGAAGCTCGGCGAGACTCAGTAACTAGAGTTTAACAACCTGTACTAAGCTGCACACATGGTGATGATGGATACATAAAAATCTTTTACTGAAAGAAAGCTCGAAGTCTCCACAGCACACAATATTTTCCCTTATATGCCCTTAAAAAGAGGGTGTATTTGACTTTCACAGTTTATGCGTGTACGTATAAATGAGCGAGCATAATTGATTTTCCAACCCGTTACTTTCGATCCCCCTTGGAACAATCACTCGTGACTTTTGCTTGTCCCACATTCGCAGGCACTCAGACGGGCACTTTAGACTTTTGTGTCTTCAGACAACGATGCTAATTCACAGCTATTGCAACTAAGATATACAAATATCAATAATTAGTCTGAGGAATTTACTATTCCAAAAAAGCGTTTGTGAAGTACTATAATAAGAGCTACTCATATGGCCAGCAGGTAAACAAAACATGTCATGATGTGACTTGTGAAAATTTTCGGCCTTCAGGGCAACAAAACGGTATGAAATCGTAATGTTATACAACTAATGAAAACCCAATACGCATACAGCTTAGACCCAGAACAACTACTCCCCACCACATACTATATGCACACCGTTATATTCGAGTTGGAAAAGCGTGTCAGGATGAGCAGTGAGCCATTATTTTTGTCACCAAATTTAAACTCCTATAGAGTAGTGTAACTCCCCAGGTCAACAATATGGTTTTCTGGAGGTATGAAGACATTTATGTCCTGGACGAAAGTGACGCCTGTAGTTCGTCAAGCGAGGAACAATACAATTTTGACCCCCAACCCTTTCAAGATCGCATCACCGAACACATGAACGATCTTCGCAGTAGAGGAGACAGACGTTTGAATACTAAAAGCAAATTGAGTCAGATACAGAAACAAATGGATCGGGTCTTCACACGGTCTTCTGCTTTGTTCTGTGTGGATGTCGAGGCTTGGGAGCATGATACAAAGCAAATAACTGAGATCGGGATTTCCATATACGACCCATCTTTTCAAGAATTGGCTCTTGTTCCAAATATTAAAACATATCACATAAGAATCGCGGAAGGTATAAACTTCAAGAATGGCGATTATGTTCCCGATCATTCAGCCAATTTTTCAGGAGGCGACTCATATGTTTTCTCGCGATTGCAAGCTCGCTCATTGTTACAGGCACTCATTAACTTTTACTTTGGTCCCAATTATCCTTTTTTCTGTTCTCTTGTGGGGCATGATCTCAAGGGAGACATAAAATGGCTAGAAAATCTTGGGGTCTCAATCTCTAGAAATGTGCGCAAGTTGGACACACAGACTTTGTTCTCTTACACTCACGGTCGTGATAGGGCAAGTTTGAAGAACGCCCTCAGAACTCTCAACCAGCCGTATGCTTTTTTGCACAATGCAGGAAATGATGCTTATTACACAATTTTGCTAGCTTTGAAATTGTGTGATCCTGGAGTGCGCCGCTTGACTGGCATCGAGTACTTTCAGCCCGGAGAATACCCCGGGGAACCCGTTAAGTACCGAAAATACCCAACAAATGAGAGCAAATTGACCGCGATGCCAGTACTAAAACTCTTTGATGAAATTATTGGTATGGAGCTATGAAATGAAGGGGGATTCCAAACTCATATTGCTGCAGTTGAAATTGATTACTTTGCAGTAGTGTTCAGTGCGAACTGTGTTCGACTTCATATCGTTGTATGGTAGACTTTATTCTTTTTCACCTCTAACTTACTTGTTTTGAAATACGCGCTATCAGCTCAACAAATGCCACTGCTTGTGATTGTAAACATTTTAAGTAAGCACAAGTATGTAGGAACTCATGCAAAAAGTGCCCCATTCATCTGATCAAGTAAGGTTCTTTCCATATTCTCCCGGAGCCGATTGAGCCTTAAAAGAAGACCAGCACACAAACTCTTGACTCTGTCATCAATAAGAGATTCCCACCATTGCAGTAGTACGCTCTCAATAATATGGAGGTTTCCATCGAAAGAAGTGATCAAGAAAGTTGGATCCAATATTTCACAGATCAAAGTTACTCCTGTAACAATGCTTTCTATTACTTGCAATTGGTCAGTGCCGACCTTTTGAAGCACTGGTGTCACCAAAGTCAAATATTCCCCTGCCATGTCCTTGAGATCAATCGCTGTAGGATAGGCACAGTGCAATATCAAAGATAGAGTCCTCACATAATGTGCTATAAGAACAGGTGTATAATGACCGATGTTGATGCCTCCACTCTCATACCAAACAGCGACGAGGGGGAAGAAGAAGAGCCTGCCGACGATATCACGAAAATTAGGAAGTTGATCCTTTGATACCTCGAGTGTCTTGGGCTCTTTACGTAACTTGGCAGATACCCTGAGCACTCTCCCCCCGCTGAGTTCATCACGAGCTTCTTCAGACGACTCTCTCATCAAGGCGTTTTGAATGGAGTTTTCGATCCGAGAATAACCATAGTCCATAGCTGTATACTGATCATGAAGCTTTTTGGGGAGCGTTTTCGAGGGAAACGGGGTTGGCTTAAAGCTGTTATCTACAATCTCGTCCTTGTACCCACGAAGAGCACGTGCACCAAAAGACATTGCTGAAAGCAAGCTTAGTCTTTGCTGTAGAGAATAGTCACCGGTCAAGAGCAACTTGCACAAGTGGAGCGACACATCGGGGTAGCTCACAACAACTGCTATCATTGCGTTCAAGCGCGAAGTCTCGAAATTGTTGTCGTCATATTGATTTGACAAGCCGACCAATTGCGCAAGAAGATCGTTAGCATAAAAGGAGACTTCGCTGCCAAATGCCAGCTTTTGCCTGAGTAAGGTTGGCGTGATCTCAAGCGCGATCTTTTGTTTTTCGTAGGCGCTTTGATCTTTTGAGTCCACACTTAGGTACGACAAGAGATCACGCACGTAGATCGGCACTGGGACTTTTTCCCGACTGGCCAATGTCGGGTCGTCCTCCTCATCGCTCATGTTGAGGTCAGCAGCGAATGATTTTTTGGGAGTTTCCTGCAATGTGAGTGGCTTGAGATCAATCCCAGCCTCCGAATTCAAGTCTCCGGTCTCCACAATATATGGCGACTCGAGCACCTCCCACGAGCCTGTGACAGAAAGTGAAAAGTCGGCGCTTTTGAGGAAGTCCGCCGGGAAGTCCGGCTGCTGCATGTCACGCATATTGTTCATATCGAAAATGGGCTGCGCTTGCGCCATGCTGCTTAGCTTATCAGCAAAGAGTACACCCAAAAACTTCACCTGCGACGAGAGCGAGGAAAGCCGGTTCGTGATAGCAGATACAAATGCTGGCAGCTTGAGCAAGTCTTGTAGCTCACCCGGAGGCAATTGCGCACAGAGACATAGAAGAAGATGCGTGCGGTAGCCTTGTTTCACAATAGGTTCGTTGACCAATCCCGCAGCGGCGCCCCAGGTAGCTAGGAATTTGGGCACGAGGCTCGGGGCGCTATCCACCAGTAGTGCCACCATAGAATTCAAGGGGTAGCTATATCGCGAGACCACTTTTTCCAAGAGTAGTTCATCCCACACAGAATTGTCTATGATCTCTCTACTGAGCACCGAAACCGCCACAACCGCCTCGCTACTGGCCCCCGAGCCCAAGTAGCGCGAGAACGCAAAGTCGAGAAATTTGACAAGCACCTGTTTGCGCTCAAAGCGCTTCATAGTACCCACAGTCTGGCGCAAAAAGTCCGCATGTGCCCTGGAAAACAATACGTCGAAAAACGCGGCGCTGTTTCCGAAAGAGAGAAGCGCTACACTGAAAGAGGCCGCGTCTTCTAGCAGGAGCAATTCTGTGGCCAAGAAGCCCGTATAAGCGTCCATGTTTTGGAGCATCGGAGGCACGTGCATGTCGCTGTAATTGAGGGCTGCCTCTCGCACGATGGCATACGTTTTTCCTTTGAATAGAAGCTTTTCTATTTCTCGGCGTGCCGCCAGACTTGCTGAAAACACAAGCTCTCCAACAAGACCCGGAGCGAGAGCTTTATGAAGAAGCTGCATATGGGCATCTAGCGCCTTACATACATCTCGGGGTAGGTCCGTTTTCTGCCGAGAGAACATCCCGATCCGTGCCGTGAGATTGCCCAACCCAACGACTGTACGAAACACACGTGAAACTGCGTCTTGACAGGGCCCTGGAAGTGAGAGGTACGTTTGAGGCACGGTATATTTGAGAAGTGTAGAAACAAGGCGGAGAAGATCGACATCCCTGGATAAGTCCACAGACCTTATGCACTCTTGGATTTGCGCCGGCAGCGGCGACCCTTTCAAAATGTCCATTTGATGCGGTGCTCAAAAAAAGGATGTAAAATCAGGCGACCACCTTTAGTATGTAGTTGGATGTAGAGAAGATGTATGCTGTTTGGGGTAGGTGGGGAACGGTGGATGTGCGCGACGTTGAAAACTGGAGCCCTGGCAGAATAGGGTTTTTACTTGGATATGATATTTATTAACTAATAGTGAATTACAACTCAGCAGTATTTGAAACTCCTGATGGCTTGCAATGTAGAAGGGCTTTTATCATGGGTCGAAAATGGCTTGCCTTGACTACTTTCTATGGATGACATGCTGGCACCCTGTATATTTGCGACATGATGAAATTGATTACGAGTGGGGGCAAAATAACTCAAAAGAATTGTGAATTGCATTTTCTGATATAGGTGTTCTTCAGAAACTAGGTGCCAGCCAAATCTGCAATGTCTGAATTTCATAGCGTTTAGTTAGTCAGAAACAGACTGGGTGTTCGCTCGAGAGAGCCTCGATGATCTTCTGGTAATTCTACGAATGAAGTTGAGTACAAATCCTCAAACTGATGGAAAGTGCATGAATTAAAGTGCTTGTTTAATTGTCAACTCTGGAATAGAACTTGTTGCAGCGTAAATTCATGGCAAGATCAAAGAGGTGAATTCCAAGAAAAGCTATTCCATGGCGAGATAAACCTCCCTAAAACGAGTGAACAACCTTTCAGCTAGACCTATATAACCCAAGGTACCGAAAACCACCTAATCAGCCAACTGTCATCGATATGTGGTTTTTAGGGAAACCTTGCATAAAGAGGCGCTCTCTCCCAGCCACGGGCTTAATTTTGGAACTGAGTCAAAGATAGTTGACGGCTCTCAAGGTTCTGGCTGGACCTTTAAGATTGAGCTAGGTTCTTTCTTGCTGTATGGAAAGATTGTTTGCGTATGCATACGAAAAGTTGACCTGATGGTTTTAAAAACACACAAGTAACTGTCCATCCATGAAAATAAGTCGCTACCGAGCCAGAGAAGTCCTATCTAAAAGACTCTGATATATGGGTGCATCATAGGGGACGTGAGTCTTTTTGGTTCCCCGGCCGTATATTTTAAACGTGCATCCAGCTCCCAACTGTTTTTTTATTTTATATAGAAGGATGTTTCATAAACACGCTGAAAGTCCCAACAATAAGTGCATTTTGAGCTTGAAAAAAGTATGACCCAAATAATGTAAGAGGAGCTTCGAAAATGGTTATATGATATAAAAATTGGATGAAAGTACATCTTGGCTCAGAGTATTTTAATGAGGTTTCGGAACATATCATTGCCATTATTTTATTGGACTCAAACGGCTGTGTATAGAGCACTGGCCTCGACTGTGTTCATGATTAAAGCATGCGCCCCATATCATATAGAGTAGTATGTGACTCTTTATGCTGATTCGAGTCCCATATTTGAACAGCAAATGTAAATGCAAGCTGTGAAAAGTTGAGCAATTATGCGAGTTAATAAGTAGCGATCACGCCATGATAAGAGAATTTGCCAGACACTCCCCGTGGGCATGCCGACTGGAGCCAATATCCAAAAACGATGATTGATGAGAAGATAACAAATGGTATTTTCCCCCCTATTCTTTCACCTGTGGTGGCCTCCCTGTCTTGCGCCCTCCGAGGTCTTACGCATCAGACCGAAGAGACCAAATATGGGTGCGAAAAGAATGAAGAAACGCAGATCTTCCCACCGTTCCGACCTCCAACAAAAAGTAGCCACCAATAACAGGCTTCGCTAAACTGCCCAAGAGCCACCCGAAGAACAAAGCGGATCCCGGATTCGGCACATTGTTAGCCTGGCGATAACCAAAAGATCAACCACCCATCGTAGTCATCGCGCATCTGCGCGTCATACCTGGCAAGAACAACGGAACATCGTCTGGCACATCCTCAAATCGGCGCAAAGTTGGCAACAAACGCGATATCTTTTTCAAATAAAAGATGCTTCGCATTCAGGTAAGGGCAAACTCCACTGCAAGCATAGTCCAGGCACAGCTTGCCGCAAGACTCGAGACGTATTTTGAGCGAACGACCTTCAAGTTCCTCAAGCCGCAACATGTGGATGAGCTCCGCAAAGCCATGGAGCTCGTATATTTGAGGAAACGGCCCTTGGTGTCCATCGATGTCGAGGCGTACGAGCGCAAACAGAAACTCATTACAGAACTAGGTGTTGCCATCTATGACCCGGAAAACCAGTGGCTTCTGATGCAGCCGCATGTCAGAACCTTGCACATCATCAGCGACGAGAACAGGCGTTTTTTAAACTCGCAGTTCGTGCCCAATCATAAGTACTACTTCAACGGTAGCACGTCCTACCAGATGAAAATGAAACTGCTGCTGAAGTTCCTCAAAGAAACATTCAGGTACTTTTTCGAGGACCGTGGTGCCGTGATGGTAGGGCACCACCTCAGTGGCGACATCAAGTGGGTGAAGAGCCACGGCGTGAAAATGGCTGACGACGTGTCGCACATCGATACCCAGAAATTGTTCCACCTTTCCAGACGACGGGGCGCCACGCTTAGAGGCATCTTACACACTGTCGACATTCCGCATGCCAAGCTCCACAACGCGGCCAACGACGCCTATTACACGTTGCTTGCCGCCATGAGATACTGCGATCCCGAGTGCCGTCAGCACTACAATCTCGATACGTTTGTGGACCAGCCGAAGCCAACCGACGAGGAGAAGAAGGAGGCCAGACGGCCACCCCAGTTTCAGGAGAAGGCGCATGTGCTGAAATCATACCCGCCATCCATGAACGAAGCTTACCCAAGGAAGAGGCGCAATGTAGCTGTGGATGATGTCATGATTAAGACAGAGGATGATGTGATAGAGGCGGGTGTCATAGACATAGAGGAGGATGGGGTAAGGAAACATGTCGCGAAGACAGCGGACGATGTGGTTACAGAAGTCGCCGTGGAGGTAGAAGAAATTGTTGTGAAGCAGGATGCTGGAAAGGCAGAAGCGAGCATTGTGAAGGAGGACGCTGGAAAGACGGAAGACAATGTTGCACAGAAGCATGTCGTACAGAAAGGCGAAGATATCGGCAAAGAGGATGATTCTACGAAGGCGGATGTCATGGAACCCGCCAATGGCGTTGTGGAGGAGGATGTCGCTATGTCAGAAAACGGCGTGGCGAAAGACGATTCCAGTCCAGCAAAGGAAACTGAGGCAAAACCAAAGGACGCCGTGCCTAAACCACATGGTACAGCAGAAGCATAAAATGGCTTCGGCCATGATCGGCGAGATTTTTCTTGCGAATGTCGGGCCTGAAGCCCGATTGAGAAAGCCAAGGGCGTTGCTCGATATACATCCCATGCTTTGTTCGGTCAACACCAGGATATGCCGTCGTCTCGTCGAATCCGGGATCCGCGTATCTGAAAACCCGCCGGTATCAGGAGTATAGCTCGGCCATGGCTTTGGCATATACTTCAGAACTTTCATATAGGAAGCGGAAGTCCCGACGCCTCAAAAGCGAAAGAAATTGCTCGGGGCTCGCTTTCATAATGGTGGCCTAGATGTATATATGGTCACCATGAGCCAACACATGACCAGTAACAACCCACCCCTTGTTTACCCTTTATTCTGGTTTAAAGCAGGTCAAGCAAAGAGGCCGTATAGAAAATGTCAATTGGAAGGAAAAAAAAAACAGGTCTCATGCATGTTGGTGCCTGGTGGCCATATCTAATTAATTCAATGCACTGGTCCAAATTGGAGCGCGGCTTTCTGCATCGCCCAGAGATGGCCATGAACCTAATCAATAGCCATATTACCACGCTTCATCACCTGTGCAATTTGTCCCACATCGTCAATCTCGGCATAAGTTGGAAGTGCATTTTCCAAATACAAAGAAACCCTCTGTTCTCAAAACCAGCGTGTCTCACAACAGCATAAAAAATGGCCCCAGCGTACGTATCTCAGCCCCAGACGCATCGGCTCCATCTTCAACTAACAATCCCAGAAGAAAAGCCGTCGCAAAAACAGTAAAATCTGCATCGCCAGTATTCAAGTACCCCAAAGTGGAGTCTCCTTTTAAATTTGGCGCCCACGTGGCCATGGCGGGAGGCGTCAGTAAGGCCGTGTCCAACGCCATGGACATAGGCGCAAATAGTTTTGCGCTCTTCTTGAAATCTCCCCGTAAATGGGTCTCGCCCGATATCAAGGATGAGGAGGCAGCAGAGTTCAAACGGCTCTGTGAAAAGTATGGCTACAATCCACGCACAGATGTGCTTCCGCACGGCTCGTACTTCATCAACTTGGCAAACCCAGACCACGAAAAAGAAGAGAAAGCATACGGCGGGTTCTTGGATGATTTGAAGCGGTGTGAAAAGCTCAACATTGGGCTTTACAACTTCCACCCGGGGTCCAGCTTGGACGGCGATTTCAAGGATGCATTGGCAAAGTTGGCCAAGAACATCAACCGGGCCATGAAGGAGACGTCTTTTGTGAAGATTGTCATCGAAAACATGGCGGGCCACGGGAACTTGATTGGCTCCAATTTGAAGGACCTAAAAGACGTCATCGAGATGGTCGAGGACAAGTCCAGAATCGGTGTTTGTATCGACACGTGCCATACGTTTGCGGCTGGATACGACATCACGGACCAGGAAAAGTACGACCTTTTCTGGAAGCAGTATGAAGAAATCGTGGGCTGGGAGTACCTCAGTGCCATCCACTTGAACGATTCCAAGGCCCCCCTTGGTGCAAATCGAGACCTTCACCAGAAGTTGGGATACGGGTTTTTGGGTCTTGACGTGTTTCGTATGGTGGCCAACGATGAGCGGCTTCAAAACATTCCGATCATTCTCGAGACGCCCGTTGAAAAAGACGACTCTGTGTACGGCGAGGAAATCAAACTTTTGGAGTGGCTACAGGACAAGAAGCCCAACGACGAAGAGTTTTTGGAAAAGGCGAAGGCACTCCTGGCAAAGGGAGCCAAGGAAAGGAGTGAACATCTCAAGAAGTTTGAAGAGAAAAACGCCAAGGAGGCTGTGAAGAAGGAGAAAGCAGAAAGGAAGAGACAAGGTGCAGACATACTGTCTCTCCTCACAAAAAAGGCCAAAAAGTGAGGGCGGCCCTACCGAAACGTTAAACGGGAGACAGTGAGTGGATTTTGCGACAGGGAAATCTACGCAAGTGTAGAAGTCGATCCGGACCATAGGTCTGGACACACTTGGAAGAATCATCTTGCCTGTTTGATTAATTATTCCGTTAAGCTGGCAATCCAAAGTATCATTTGCACATGTTATCATGATCGAAACATACGAGTATATATTGGTAGTCTATTTTGTAGACTTGTTATTGGGGTCATGCATCTTTCAGACTCCAGAAGATCACCTTTCAAAGGTGTGTCGGCTCACAATATTCTTCAAACCAAAATAATCCGAAACACATAATACCATCATTGGGTATACGTTGGATTACACTCGCAATTGGTGCAATTAAAATCGCACTATTGATCGCATTGAAATGTATATTCACTTACTTGTTATAAGTACGATGCTCTGTAAATTGTTCTCCAAAAAACTTCAGAACATTTCACACATAAAATACACCCAGGAGTTGGAACTTGCAACTCCGACTCCGGAAAGTACAAAGTTATAGAGTAGGTTCTTTACATTGTTCACCCCCAATGAATTCTAGCCTGGCTATCTGTTCTCTTTATCGCTATCCGCCTGTAAATTACCTTACAGTACAAGCTGCAGTCGCGGATGTCAAATTTCTGGTAAATGATAAGCCAATATGCTTCTTTGTGTGACCACACCTCTAAATCTTTCCTAAAAGTGAGCTTCTTTCAAACGACCATGTATGGAATGCAGAGCTCATACCAATAAATATCAAGATACTAGTACAATATATATGAACGGAAACCTTTCCAATGCAAATCACTTACCAGAAACAAGTATTTTACTCAAACATATAGATCGCATTTCAATCATGAAGATTCGAGTGAGTGCGCACAACTTATATAGATGGACCCATAACCAAGGCTTGAGCCGTTAAAGCTGAGGTATTTTTGAGTGGCCAATTTGGCAAAGTGTAATCAAGATGTTTCACATAAGCATGATTCAAACAAGGGTTAACATGTACCAAAAATAGTAAAAAGATTGCAGCACCACAATTTCGCATATGGTCTCCCACTACACTACTCAGTGTGGCCCTATGCAGCTTAACTAACGTTGATCGGACGGGAAACAGTGCTTCCTGCATGGTATGGCCGCAACCGTAGGAAAATGGAGCCTGGTAATACATCCAAAAACAAATCAAAAAACTTATTATTTTGGAAAGGTTTCAAAGTTTTAGTTGGGATCTGAAAATTACTTGTTGCCGTACACATCCATTGGACACTTAGTTTCCGTTTCAAGGTCTACACCAGAAGGCACGGCGAGTCACAGGAAGTGGGATTCTCAAGTCCGCTTCAACCATCTGAGTTGAAGCGACTACTACAGGATACCTATCCTAGGAGTTGATGACGTAATATCCGATAAGTAAACAGATACGGGCCACGAGGGCCGTCCAGGCCGCGACTAACGGAAGAGGACGGGCCGGGCTAAGACACTTGCTACCTAACTGGGAGTTGTTCAAAGTTTTTCTTTATATATTATTCATATAATTTTGCTCCTTTGATCAGATGAATCCACCAAAAAATAGCCCCAGCTGACAACTCTTTGGAGAGCTTGACGAAACTACATTGGTTCGTCATGACGATTTTGGGAGATGCTACCTCCTTTAAGTACAATTTAAGAAACCTCAATTGGTTGTTCGCAGGATTTTCTTGCTTTGGGACCAGGAGGCAAAGACAAATGTACGTCTTGCCGCCTTTTCAAATGAACTATGATCACGGGCCCTTAGGAGAACATATCCTATGAGACGATATCGTTTAGTTTATTTTATTCAAGTGGTTGACATTGGTTTTGGGCAGAAGTCTTTTTCACATCCTCTTTGGGAGATTTCGTGAATTGGTGCTCGCACCTTCTCACCTGAGCCAATGTTGCGATCTAGTATAGGCTTCTTCTTTGTAGTTTTTCGTTAGCGGTGGGGTTTTACATCTTTCCAGTGACACCCTATAATATGATGTTTCTTCAAGAATAAAAAAAAAAAAATAATTAATAAAAAAAAAGACGTGGCGAGTCGCAGAATGTAAGCTCCTTTAGTTCTCTCCAACCATCTGAGTTAAGCGAGTACTACACAAGACTTGTACTAGGAGTCAACGACGTAATATCTAATACGCAAAAAGGGGACTGCCCAGATCGTGATTGACAGAAGGGGCGGGGCGAGGTTCGACACTAGATACGTATCTGGAAGCTGTTTAAAGGCTATATATACTTTTTTTTGTTCTTTTCATCAGATGAACCAACCACAAAAAAAATGGACGGAGCCCCCTGATTTTCTGATTTGACCCTGCGAGAAATCCCACGTTTATTTTTTTCATAGTCTTATTTCCTGGTGGTTTGTGTAAATTCTGCTGCTGCACACTTATCAAGGATGTCCTGTTATAATATGTTCATGGTGTTGGCTTTTCAGCACAAATCAAACACGTTGTTCTGACAGAATGCAAGTCACTCAAGAAATGAAAAACTCGAGTGGGGGTCTACCATGAGTTCTAAAAAGGCCCTCAAGCTCGGTGACATGGATTTATAACACACTTGGTGTCGTGAAATATACATCACCTGGACTTCATACTGAGATTTCATTTAATGTTCAGGGTTCTAAGATGAGTGGGAGCCCGGGAGTCACGTGAGCCTCCCAAGGAAAAAAATTTTGAGAGTTTGCAAATCAACCATACCATGCTGCCCAACCTTGTTTGGATGCTTATGGGCAGCTACAGTATCAACCTTTGAGGTCTCTAAGCACCAAATGGCCTCATATTTCGCAGCCGCACTGGAGTGGAGGAGAGCAAGTAAATTACAAGCAGAAAGAAGAGTTACAACAAGAGAGACGCAGTAAGAGAGACACAAAAACCATTTACATCTAGAAAACACAATGGGGCTATACATGATTGGTCCCTCGCCCAAAACACAAGAAAATGACATTTCTCGCATCCCAGGCCCGTGTTCCCCTCCGACCGGCCGGATGCACGTGCCCGTGTCACGTGCCATACCAATATACAAGCAGTGGCGTGACTAGTAGATTTCTAGAACACCTTGAGCAACGCGGTCGTAAGCTGTGCCAGGCATTCACAGGAATTCACCAGACAAGGACGGGCAGCCACACTCACGTGACCCGCCCTGTGCAGTACGGAAGAAAGCTCAGGCGCTTCCGCAGCATTATCTGAGATTGCACTACTGAGAGAGCCGATGACTCAGGCGGTTTTGGAAAGTGACTCAAGTCAAGATGCCGTTTTCCGGTATACAAACACGATGTCAGCAAGACTCGTTCCGTTTTCATGCGGCTTGCCCCATCGCAAAACACCAAATCGCCGAAGCGAGATGTGATGGAGTCTACATGGATCCTGGCCCATAGCGGCGCCAGACGTGGCCGGCGCGGCGGTGCGCGCACGACCCGCACAAAAACCCAACCACCAATTTCGCGCTCCATCGTCTACACTCAACACCCCTAACTTCAGACTAGACAGCGCCAACTGCCGCGAAAAACCACGTACTAATACTAGCAGATCGGCAGATGTTTGGCAGAAGCACTTCTGGATTCGGCGGGTTCGGAGACACCGCCAACCGCGGCGGCTCGCCGTTCGGCGCCGCGCCCACAAACGCCAGCGGCTCACCTTTTGGTGCGGGCACGACCCCGTCCTCCGGGTTTGGCGCCGCTCTGCAGCCAGGCGGCATTTTCGGCGCTGCGCCCAACAAGCCTGCGGGCGCCGGGTTCGGCGCCTCGGGCGGTGCATTTGGCGCCCCGGCGAACCCCGGTCTGGCCGTCGGCGGCACGGCAAACGCCGGGTTCGGCGCCCCCGCCAGCACCGGGGGCTTTGGCCTGGGCGGCTCGGTGTTTGGCCAGAACACCGCCGCCACGGGCGGGCTGCCGTTTGGCGCAGCGGGTACGGGCGGCTCCGGCGCGTTTGGCGCCACAAACCCGGGTTTTGGCGGCGGCGCCAAGCCATTCGGCAGCGCGTTCGGCACGCCGCAGAACAACTCGATCACGCCCTTTGGAGGCGCCGGTGCGGGCTCCGCGGCGTTTGGCGCGGGCGCAGACCCCACCGCCAACAACGGCACGGCCACCAAGCCGTTCACGCCCTTCACGGAGAAGGACTCCTCCGGCACCAACTACTACCAGAACGTGTCGTCCATGCCCGAGTACAAGAACTTCTCCTTCGAGGAGTTGCGGCTCAAGGACTACGAGCAGAACCGGCGCTTTGGCACGGGCAACGGTGCGGCGCCCGGCGCGTTCGGCGCGTCGCCGGCGGGCTCCTCGGCTTTCGGCTTTGGCGCGTCCAACAACACGGGCAGTGCATCGGCATTTGGCGGAAACACCGGCGCCAACGCCACGGGCGCGTTTGGCCAGTCTAGCGGCACGGGCGCGTTTGGCCAGCCCTCGGGCTCTGCCTTCGGCAGCACGGGTGCCACGGGCGGCTTTGGCCAGCCCGCCGCCGCCCTGGGCGGTCTTTTTGGCCAGTCCAACGCCAGCGCCTCGCCTTTCGGTGCCGCCAACAACGCCAGCGCGGCCCCCGGTGGCTTTGGCTCCGGCGCGTTTGGCAGCGGCGGCTCGGCTTTTGGTGCCGCCAACAAGCCCGCTGGGTTTGGCTCCGGGTTTGGCTCGACCGCCGGCAACACTGCCGGTGGCTTTGGTGCTGCCAACTCAGGCCTGACGGGCTTCGGCGGCTCAGGCTCTGCCTTCGGCGCCAACAACACAGCCAGCGCACCGTTTGGCCAGTCCAACAATGGCACTAATGCTTTTGGCGCCAGCGGCAACACTAGCTCTCCTTTTGGCGCCACGGGTAACACCGGAGGTGGTCTCTTTGGAAGCAGCAATAACGCAGGCGGGTTCGGGAACACCGGCTCCAATACCGGTTTTGGAAACAACAACAACAACAGCGGGGCTGCCGGCGGGGGGCTTTTCGGCGGTGGAAACTCAGGGTTTGGCGCCAAGCCTGCTGCCCCTGGCGGTGGTCTTTTCGGACTGGCCAACAACAATCAGCAAACGTCTGGCTTCGGCGCCAATAACACCGGTGGAGGCCTTTTTGGACAGAGCAACAATAACACTGGCGGAGGTTTCGGCAACACTAACAATCAAAACACTGGTGGCGGTTTGTTCGGCAACAACAATCAGAGCAATGGTGCAGGAGGTGGTCTCTTTGGGAGCAACAATCAAAACACCAATACAGGGGGAGGGCTTTTTGGTGCAAAGCCGGCTGGTACCACCGGTGGATTATTTGGAGGCAACAACTCAGCTCCCTCCACAGGTACTGGATTTGGTGCTCCCCAGAACAATAATGCATCTACCGGTTTGTTTGGATCCAAGCCAGCCGGAACAACTGGGGGCGGCTTGTTTGGTGGCAACAACAATGCGCAAGGTACCTCTGGAGGCCTATTTGGCCTGAACAACAACACGTCGTCCACAACTGGCGGCGGACTCTTTGGCGGAAACTCTAATACGTCAACAAATAACGCAGGGTCTACTGGAGGTTTGTTTGGGAACAAGCCATCCACGGGAGTAGGTGGAGGGCTTGGAGGCGGTGGATTATTCGGCAACAACAACCAGTCTGCAACCACCAACAATAATAATTCTGGGGGATCTTTATTTGGGGGTAATAACAGCGGCTCTTTGTTTGGCCAACAATCTCAACAGCAGCAGCAGCAGCAGCAGCAACCACAAAACATCGCGTCATCCGGTTTAAGCATTCTTTCTCAAAACCCCTACGGAAACAACGCCCTATTCCAAAGCCTCACTGGGCCTACCGAAGGCACTGGATCCAATGCAAATATCCCTCTTGCGACCCCAGTCAACCCTCCGGCTAAAAAGGCGGTTAGCTTACGAAGTGCTCACAGAATCGAGCCATTGTTCAGAGCAGAAAAGACGGTCAAGCCCGCAGACTCAGCCCTTTCTCCACGCTCAGACTCTGTCAACAATACTCTTCCAAGGCAGCCAACCCTCTTAGATGCAGATGTTGACAAAGCAATCATGGCATCAGAAATTTTTGCACCCAAAAAAGACTACAAGAAATTGATAATTCAAAGCGCAAATGGGGCCTCTAGCGGAATATCCGCTATCGAATCAAAACCAGCTCACCCTAAGCAGGTTACCTTTGAGGTCGAAACTAAGGGGAAAGACGAAGAGAAACCCCTTTTAGACTACAGCTCGCGGGAGATAATTGATAGTGACGGCTACTGGATGCATCCTCCGTTGTCGGAACTCAAGAAGAAGTCCTTATCTGAATTGAGAGCTGTGGAACACTTCAAGATTGGTCGTAACTTCTTCGGTTCTATGGAGTTCACCAAACCAGTTGACCTTTCGGCGTTTAACTTGGATGATATCTGCGGGAATATTGTTGTCTTCGGCAAAAAAACTGTGGACTTGTATCCGGACAACCAAAAACCTAAAGTTGGTGAAGGCTTGAACTTACCTGCAGAGGTTACATTGGAAGGATGTTTTCCAATGAATCGGAAAACCAGCTCGGCCATTGTGGACCCCAAAGATGAAATTGTCAAGAAACATATCAAATGTTTGAAGTCATTACCGGATATAAAGTTCAAGCACTATGACCCGCTGACTGGAAATTGGACTTTCACCTTCGATCACATTAGACAGGAGTGAGGAATTTCAGACGACGCGTCCGGCACAATATGTCGAACCAGTTTTACCGCGTCTCATCATCGCTGGTGACGCAGCTTGCATCAATTATTCTCGTTTTTAAAATCAAACAATTATAGGAAATAAATTAAGAAAATGGGAGTCAAAGGTATGCACGTTTCGGATGGGAATCATTGGTCTAACATGTTCCACTAACTCAGCGTATAGGTCTTAATCAACTCATAAAGGAGCATGCCCCTGATGCGTTCAAGGAGTTAACCATGAAAAACCTCTTCGGAAGAAAAATAGCCATTGATGCGTCCATGTGCTTATACCAATATCTTATTGCAGTTAGGCAGCAAGATGGCCAGCAGTTGACTAGCGAGGATGGCGAGACCACGTCCCATTTGCTGGGCATGTTTTACAGAACCATCCGTATGGTGGAGAATGGTTTGAAGCCATTGTATGTCTTTGATGGCAAGCCGCCAGTGTTGAAAGGAGGGGAGTTGGAAAAGAGATTGTTGAAGAGACAAGAAGCTGAGAAGCAGATGGCAGAATTGAAAGAAACAGGTACAGTGGAAGAGTTAATGAAGTTTGAGAAGCGGACAGTGAGAGCGTCTCGTGAACAGAATGCCGAGGCCAAGAAGTTGCTAGAATTAATGGGTATTCCGTATGTGGACGCCCCGTCGGAGGCCGAGGCCCAGTGTGCTGAACTAGCCAGAAGTGGCAAGGTTTTCGCCGCGGCTTCCGAGGACATGGACACGCTATGTTACGAGCCCAAATTCTTGTTGAGACACTTGACAGTTGCAGAGGCGAGAAAACTCCCGATTGACCAGATCGAGTTTGCCGAGGTGTTGAAGGGTTTGGGCATGGACAAGTCCACATTTGTGGATATGTGTATCTTGCTTGGATGTGACTACTGCGAGACAATCAAAGGCGTGGGTCCAGTGACGGCTTTCAAGTTGATCAAGCAGCATGGCTCGTTGGACAACATTGTTGAGTGGATCAACAACAACCCCGAGAAAACCAAGTACCAGGTTCCTGAAAACTGGCCATATAAGGAGGCCAAGGAGCTTTTTATGAACCCGGAACTACTCAAAGATGACGAGATTGACTTCAAATGGGCAGAGCCCAATCTCGATGGCCTCATTGAGTTTATGGTCAGGGACAAAGGCTTTAGCGAGGACAGAATACGCAGTGGTGCAGAGAAGTTGAAGAAGGGCCTCAAAGGAGGCGTACAAGGCCGTTTAGATGGGTTTTTTACCGTGGTGAAGCTGACTCCGGCCAAAAGAAAGGCAGAGCCCAAGACCAAAAACGGCAAGAAGAAGGCCAGGAAATAAACGATGTTGATGGAAAACAGTAACAGGGCACCAACCACGACAGCCAGTTGACACGAGCCAGTTTATACGGGGCACGTAGAATGAACACGTCATATGAGCTACTTCATACTAGACTCACCCGACATAAGAAAAATGGTGGAGCCACTCAATGCTAGCCACCTATATAGTAGCTACCTGGTACGAAGCACTTGTTTGATTGTCACATACAACAAGAACCGCCCAGCAACTCCACGGCTGTTTTACAGAGCAGCCCGGCGCCGATAAAGGTCGTGGCCAGCCAGCGTAGTTCTTCATTCTCTACATATAGCCCTAGTCCCTGGACTTCTTTTTCTTGTCCGCTTCTGCCTGCTTCTCCTTCTCGATCTCTTCCACGTACTGGGAAATCTCCTGGACAGACAACAGCGTGATCACGTTGCCGGGCTTCAACACCGATATCTCGATGTTCTTGGCGCCCGTCTGGACCACCTCCAACAACGACTTGACCGTCAACTTGACCGTCAGCTTCTCGTCGGCACCCTCATCATAGTTTTTCTCCAAGAACTCCTTGACGGTCTTGGCCAGGCGGCCTATGGCGTGTGCTTTCCACGAGTTGTACACTCCGCTGGGCTCTGTCTGGTACAATCTAGGCGTGGTGTCGTTGGAGTCAAACCCTGCAATCATCGTTGCAATTCCAAACGGACGCACTCCGCCCGACTGCGTGTACTTCTGCTGCACTCCCGCAACGTATTTAGTAAGATACTCAATGGACACGGCGTCCTCCAAATTCAAGCGGTGGGACTGGGCCTCGACCCGCGCCTTGTCGATCAAGATCCGCGCGTCGGCATTCAAGCCTGCAAACGTCAACAACACGTGGTTGTCGACCTTGCAGATCTTGGAGGGCGTGATGCGGGGGTCCTGTAGCTTCAACGTGGTTCTTTTCTCACAGCCAAGAACCACGCAGTCGGCGCCCTTGACACCCACGGCACACGTGCCTCTTTTGACGGCTTCGGAGGCGTACTCGACTTCTGTTTGTGTTAGTAGGACCGCGGCATGGGAGAATGGGCATTGGCGTATTTGGGCATTGGCGTATTTGGGCCTTGACGTTTTGGGCCTTGACGTTTTGGGCCTTGGCGTATCTGGTCATTGGCGAATTTGGCCTTGGCGTATCTGATCATTGGAAAATTTGGCCATTTCCGACCACAAACGAGCCAGTGCTCGTGCACTGTTTGAATGTAGCCGCCGCTGTTCTTAGGTTGTGAAACTGGGTGGGGTTGTGTCTTTCAGGTCCCGTGTCGTTGGAATAATATAGAGACATTGAACGACACGGCACACCACGCAAAAAAACACAGCGGCTGGAAACGAGCAGTTGCTTTCGACTCGAAATATTTGATAAATAAGGGGAGGACATGCCGCTGGAACGGCGACACACTATGAGGGAGGCCCCTAGTTTAGCCGCCGTAGGCAGACGGGGCAAACACGCAAATCCCGGGGGAAATATGGAATTTGAACATACGGAATACGTGTCCATCTGGTCTAGGGAGGTTAGTATATGCCAGATATGCTAGAAGAGCCAAAACAGGCGGTAAGCGAGACTTTTGCTGACCCATAAGATGCGCCTGTCCACCTTAAATTGTGACTGGGACCCGGAATCAGACGCTATATGTAGGCTTTTCGGGAAAAGATGGAACATACGAGAAAATGGATAACGCGCTATCGTATCCACTCATTGTATCGGGATATATATGTGGAAATGGGGCGTTTTAGGTTGTGGTACTATGGTCAGAACTGGAATGGTGGTTCACTGGTGGCGCACTGTGAGTGCGCTCCAGGCCGGAGTGCCGTCTGCGTGCAGGACGTCAATTGGTGGGTTTGGCCGTTTGGAGATGTGGGCGCTTGAGGGTTATTTAATTTGGTCCCTTGATTTGGCGCGGATTGTCTAGGAATACAGAACCAGTCACAGTCGCTGAATGGTTTTAAAAAATCGCCCCTGTTTTGGGTGTGCCAAGTATAACTGCTCCGGCCACCATGATTGATGCGAAGTACTGTGCTGGAAACGCCAGAACAGTGCTTGAGAGACGGCTTTCCGAACGCAAACGTGTGTAGCCTCAGATCTTATATAATCAGCATCCAAGGATTGCAAAGAGGGGGGCTGGCGCAGACGTTGGCGGGCACCCAAGCCCAGGTCACGTGACCACATCGTCTTCGGGCTGGGTCATGGCCCATCCAATTAAACCAGAACAAAGGCACTTACTACGCCCTTTACAACCAACACCCAATCTTGGCAGGATCCCGGGGCTCAAATACGGTACTTTACATAATATTTCTTTTGCTGGCTTTAGCGTGTTCCAATCTCACCTCCATATTATGGCCAAACAGCAGAGGACCCCCAAGGTCCAGAAAGACCACTATGCACGCACATCCTTCTTGTTCCAGGCAGCCAATTTTTATGCAAGCCACGGAAACCCCGTCATGTCTCGGATGATGCTGCGAAGTGTCGATTTGGTGGCAAAACGCACGGTGTTACGCGTGCTGCCGCATGTCAAACGACAGATGTGCAAAACGTGCAGTTCGATTTTGATTCCGGGGCTCACCATGAAAACCGAGGTTGAAAACCTACTGAAGAACCCTTCGAAATCTCGCAAGGCCGATGTGTTAGTGCACACGTGTCTTGAATGTGACACCACAAAGAGGTTCCCAATAGGGAAGGACCCGTCGTACGTTCTACATTGCGATAGGAATGCTTTCACAGAAAAGTAAATTGGATGGGGAAGTGAAGCGCCGGATTTATGATGTAATAGGGTGACTCCTGGATTGCGAGGTGGTCTGGGCCAATATTTACCCATGTATTGTCGAGCCTCTCCACTAGGAATTGCAGGTGAATAAATATGGGGACGACCGCAGTCGAGATAGGTACCCAGTTACTGTTTTAACAGAAGATATGACTTGTTTGTGTATGAGGTAGGGGCACGGACCGTAAAGACACGGGCCAAGGATATACTGACACGGGTAGGGCTTCTATGGGTGGTGTTATGGCTGGTTTATGGGTGGTGTTATGGCTGGTTTATGGGTGTTGTTTATATGTTACTGGTCTGGGAAGAAGAACACTAAAACATACTCATGAGACCAGTCATTGCATAGCCATGAGAATACCAGCAATACGCAACAATCATAAGAATACTGGCAGCATGACTGCCTGTATGAGTGCTTATCATATGGTACTTGTCCATGTATATACTGGTTATTTAGGAACTAAGCATTGGCACACGAATGCCATACATGCACTGTCGACAAAGGTACAGTTATGTAAATACAGGCAGGATCGTGCTGAGGTACTGCCACCGGAAGTATCAGGCATTTCGTTTGCAGAAACAGAACGCCTTCCGTTTGTCCCATGCTCACACTTCTGGGACAGATGGATTGTTGATATGTTTTGATGTTGGTTGTTCCGTTGGCACGTGGATTCTGGCAGAATCGGTACTGGCAATGGGTCAAAATCGTGAAGCCTAACAAAATATGAAAAGCAGACCCTTAAAATCATCAAGACGTCTTAAATATGCACCCAGCTCCACAGAAACGCACGAAAACACACACTGTAACTATAGTTCAACTACAAATGATTGGTTTTGGCCACCAGAGTCAGCGCCATCGGGCAACCACCAAAAACACCATTCAAAATCTTTTTCATAAACATTTTCAATTCGCAAAAGCCCCCGATTTCCTCTATAAGAACTTCTGCCTGCGGCGCTCCTCGGCCCGTCTGGCAGGCTGTACCCGTGCACCGAAAAACCCATAGTGAAACCCGATTTCATGGGCTAGGATCTCGCCAAACCCAAGCATGATACCATTGATAAAAGGCAACACTAGATTTATGGCACCTCTACGGACGATATCCCAGATATTCAACGTCACAACCGTGTTGCCTCCAGAGCGTTTATACGGCAAGTACTCTGCATCAAGTTCCTCCAAAATCTCAGCTTCTGCCCCGGCAAATTCCTCCTGAAGCTGCTTCTCTAGAGCCGCCTCTAGACTGCGCTCTTCGTCGTCCTCTAAATGGCTATCGCTGATAATTTCATGGAGGTTTTCCATATCCTCGGCGTTCACAAATTCATCGGAAGAAAGGGGAATAGGGTAGGACATAGAACCGAGGTCCGTGGGTTGCCGATCTTGGGAGAGTGACTCGAAGGACATACCGGTGATAGGGAAGAGATGTGAATAATTTGCAGTTAAGTCTAGTAGTTTAATCCTTGGGCAAGGTGAGCAGATAGTGCCCGAGCATGTCACGTGACATGGCTATGTACCCCTGCTTCAATTCTGATCTTATGGGTGTAAGTTGATGGCGGCAGATTATTTTGTTTTTTCTCTGAATTTGTTGAGATTCATCAATGGTTCCTTTGGATTGAAACGTGAATTTGCTGGTGAGCGACTGGCTATAAATCAGGTCTGGGTATATACCTGAACTATGGATGCCAAAAGTTGCCCTTATAATAATAAAGTTTTGACTAGGTCTTGTTCATCCGTGGATTCATTGAAATTGTTGTAAAGAAAAATAGGGGTTATGTAATGTTTTGAGTCTATTATGTAGTAGAAGTCCGCTCAGACACGAGCAGGTGCTTTCTAGCTCAATTATGATTTTACCCGTTGAGCGAAATTCATTCGTCCTTTCAATTCACTTGAATCGCTAGTTCAACTTTTATCTGCTTAACACATGCCCATTTGTTCTTGAAATCTGCTCGAAGGAAAGTTTCTTCGTATTTCTGATATAGCCAGGCGCTGCTTATTGTTGCTGACCCGAAGGCAGCCAAATTATTAAGACTTCGAAATAAATCGTGACCTGAAGTTGTGCACATGGCTACCGGAGTATTATAAACTGAGACCTTGATAGTTTCAGTATTGTATCATACGGGCTGCTAAAACAAAAGAGTATGGTTTGATACATGAAATAGGACCTGTGAAGTAAACACGAGAGTCGAGAGAAATTACTCATGGTAGTCTTCTCTCGGTAGTTTTGCAGAAAAGCGACTCATGTCCTTAACAAAGGACGAGAAGAAAAAGTTTCACTTTAGTGTGGAAGTCTTTTCCTTATGCATTTTTTAATAAAAATATAGCTATGTGAATACTGGAAATCTGAGATCCAAGCCTCAACATAATTTTTCATGTTTCCACTATGAAGCTTCCAATATTTCAATTTCAGCTCAGATGAAGAAAATCGTGGGAGTAGTCGGATAGCTCAAATTTATTGGACTGCCGATTTTGAGACCCCGAATTAAATTCTCGATTTTCGAGTATGGATTCAAAGAAGCCGCTGGATGTTTAAATATTTTCATCCAGAGAATACTGATGTTGGAATAACAGCAGAAAAGAAACAATAAGAACATTATAAGCTTGGAAAAGAAGCAATTCATCTGTCAACAGTGAAAATCTGATAAAAAACTCATGTCTCAATTAAACCATGACTACGCGTTTTCTTCGTTTGGTCTTCTTCATGGAGATAATTTAATTTCATGGAATATCTAGCCCAAATACTTATAAATGGCATCGGCTTTGATTGGACTAATAGAGAATTCCTAAATAGCATTCGAAGAATGGAATGTTCATAACTTCATTTCATTTTTAGTGATTTAGATAAAATTAAACAACTTTCATTTGAGGATGTTTTGATTCCTTGAATATTTTTCCCATAGATTTCTCATGAATAGTAAGTGAAACTCATCTGCTGAACGTATGACTTAAATTAGCATATGGTCATATCACATGTTTGATGTTTAACCTTTTGATGTAACAATACACGATAATCTTTATTAATACATAAGTTGTCTAAGTTTGGATATTCCTGCTTGATAATCTTAAGATGATTTGATGGGGAGCCCTGATTTACATGCGAAGTTCAGATATATAGATTATTTATGATGCTTTAATTTGACTCTTTAGAAGCATTCGATTATTTATCCTATAACCTCTTTTATAATAAACACCTATTGACCGTCATAGACTATTATAACATTTCACTTCTCATTTCTTCACGAAACCTACTCATTCTTCCCACTCCGCCTTTATCCTTCAAGGAGTCTACCCCCCCTCTCCCCTTTATTTACATTTTCTCAGCCATCCACCACATCTTCTATTCTTTACTCTGCAATCTGATTTCTCCTCTCCCTCACCGTCATCCGTCTGTTCGTTCACGGCTCCTATGTGCCATTTTCTGATAATGAAATTGAGGCGTCAAGATTTGAATGCACTTGTGTTTAAAAAGCTGTTATACCGATCAGAAGTTAACCAAGCTCTACAATGAGCGTGAGGTTATTTGGTGGCAACAGATCGGCTTTCAAGCTCCAATGCACTCAAGGGAGATGCGAGCTCCTTTAAATATTTTCTTTGACAATCTACCTTTATTGTTTTGTTAAAGTCGTTTGCAGGGTTCATTTTCCTAGGGGCCAGGAGGCAAAGCCAAATGTACGTTGGTCTTGTCAAATGAACTATGGTCACGGTGCATGGGACCCTACGAGACGATGAAATTGCGTTAATTCTATTCAAGTGGTTGACATTAGTTATGGGAAGAAGTCGTTTTGAGGGAACTAAAAGGTAAATAACTAATTTATCCTCCAAATTTGGGCATATCTTGTGTTTCTGATATTAAAGAATGTTATAGATCCAGCTGCCATAGTATTAAAGTTCAAAAGGCCTTCAGCCCAACATCAAAGCATCACACACCTATAATTTATTTTACTCTAACATAATACCAATATTAAATATACCACATAATTGGACTTAATTGGTTATACTTATAGTTGATGAACTATTTAATGTTATTAGTGCTCTTATTTCAAATTTCTGTTGAATAACTGTGTTTGTATTTCTATTAATATCAAGTTTATTTGTATTCTTTTCACCGAGTACATAAGAACATTCTAGTAATTATATACTAGGTTATCCAACGGTCACATCCTTTCGGAAAATTGTGAGTTGGGCTCTTGCCTTGTCACTTGAGAAGATGCTGCGATCTATTACAGGTTTTTCTTCATGGTTTTTCGTTGGTGGTGGAGATGACTCCCTCCAGTGACACCCTATGGTATGATGTTTCTTAGGAAAAGATCTCCCAACCCTCTTCCCCTGTTTTATCTTATCTTTCTGTCACCTTCATTTCCTCAAGTCATTCTACTATCTTATTTTCTCTCTTCTCTCACACTATATCCCCTCCCTTTCTTCCCCACCTCTTCCATTCTTCTACTCTACTATATCCTCCTCTCTCACTAGATTCTCTCAACCCCACCACATCTTCCGTTTTCTACTCCACCATCTTATATCCTCTCTCACTCTACATTCGTTAATCTCCCACCACCAAATCTTCCAAACTTTACTCTCCCATATTATTCCCGTTTCACACCTACTCACCCTCACTCACATTCATTCCACACATCGTCTATTCTCTAGTCCACCTCCCCTGCTTTTTATCAAAATATCAACCGATACCGTGTCCAATCCACTTTTATCATGTCAACAACGTCTTGAATATTGAAAAAAAACCGTGCCTCAAAAGAGCTATCCGTTAGTTTTCACAAACGTGATGTCACAATTAATTTTTAAACAGGAATATTCATGTCCTATTCGATGACTTATTATCCCGTTTTGGCGATATTCACCTATCCACTGCTTCTGAGGATTCTATATTTATAAATGATACATATGTAGATCCATTGAATCTGTACGTATAAATGATATAGTAGCTCGTAGTTACCCTGAGACTATTGATAATAGTCGAATCCATAACTGTACTAATGTTAGTTGATGTAATAAACTACAAATATATTTCAGCTCGAGTAGCTGGGTAACATGACGCTTGAATGGCTATAAAGCCGGATAATAGTTCTGATATAGCTATTAACAATAGTTATTGTCATAGGATTAAACAGCCGTTGATAGGGAAACTATACTAAAAGCCCGACAGACAAACTCATGGGATTGATAAATCTAGAGGTTATAAACAATGGTATTTAGAGTTAGATGAAGAGCCATCTGTAGTCAACCAGACCATGAAAATGTAAAGGACAAGCAAGTGGAATGGAACTTCTGAGTACCACATTATGGAACTATCTATAAAAACGATAAAACGTGTGCTTAAGTAGAATTTAAATTATGATCTGGTTGGTGTATGCTGATTTGTAAAATTTATTGGAGTGGATGAAGAAAAAAATCGTTGCATCTTCCATTTTCCATTTCACCAACCTATCTCCCCCCTCTATCTTTCACTCTTGTATTTCCCCCTCCTCTACATTCCTCAACCATCGACACATCGTCTATGCTACTCCATCTTCTCTCCCCCACCCTACATTCATTCCACACATCGTCTATTTTCTACTCCGTCCCCTCTCACTCTCACCCTACCTTCTTTCCACCACATCTTCTTTTCTCCTACTCCACAACCTTATATATCAAACAGTACATCCCTAAGATAAAACAGTACATCCCTAAGATAAAATTCATCATGGACCCTTTACGTTAGATAAGAAGGCGCGTTCCTTCAGTTTATATCTGTTTGTTCACCGCTACCAGATCTACCAGCTTCAACCTTTCTCTTTTTCTACTTGTCTTGATCTCTCTTACTCTAGTTTCTGTTTCGTATAGTATCTCTCGTCTCACTGTACGATCCTTACTCTTGCACCACAACTTCTATTCTTCTATTCTTCTATTCTTCTATTCTTCTATTCTACTCCGTCTCCCTTCCCCCACCCTACATTCATTCCACCCATCGTCTATTCTTTAGTCTATCTCCACCATTACGCTCACCCTACCTTCATTACTCACATCGTCCATTCCATCTCCCCTCTCTCCAGCACATCTTCCATACTCCACCAACCCATCTCCCTCTATCCTCCACTCTAGTATCTCCCCCTCCTCTACATTCCTCAACGTTCCACACATCGTCTATTCTAGTCCATCTTCTCCCCCCTCCTTTACATTTCTCAACCATCGAGACATCGTCTATTCTCCTCCATCTTCTCTCCCGCACCCAACATTCATTCCACATATTCTCCCACTCCACTAACCTATCTTCCACGCTCTACTCTAGTATCTGCTCCCCTCTCCCCATCACCCTAAATTCGTTCCGCCACATCTTCCATTCTGCTCCACTATGTTATCTTCCATCACACCCCACATTCCCTTAACCCTTCCACCACATCTTCCATTCTGCTCCACTATGTTATCTTCCATCTCACCCCACATTCCCTTAACCCTTCCACCACATCTTCCATTCTGCTCCACTATGTTATCTTCCATCTCACCCCACATTCCCTTAACCCTTCCGCCACATCTTCCAATCCTCTACTCCACCAACCCATCTCCCTCTATCCTCCACTCTAGTATCTCCCCCTCCTCTACATTCCTCAACGTTCCACACATCGTCTATTCTAGTCCATCTTCTATACTCCCCCCATCTTCCATTCTAGTCCCTCCCCGACTTGCAACGCTGGCCGGCGGCCCGCTACGCCGGGCGCACGCCCACGCTCTGGCCCTCGCGCAAGCGCTTCTCGGTCAAGGCCGCAATCACCGCCGCGCCCACGCCCGAACCGTCCTCCGCAGGCACAATCACCACCGGGTCCGGCTCGCCCGCCGGCCAGTCGAAGATGTCGCGCAAGGCCCGCGCCGCGCGCTCCTTGAAGCCCGGGTACTTCTCGTACACCGAGCCGTCCGCCGCACAGTGCGCCGTCTCGTAGCCACGCTTCTTGCAAATGGCCGCAATGCCGCACACGGCCAAGCGCGCGGAGCGCTCGCCAATCAACTCGGCCACGCGCCGCACCACCTTGCGCTCCGCGGCCGTGGTGGCAATGCCCAACTGCGCCGCAAACAACTCGCGCACGTCCGACAAGTTCTCGTAGGGGTCCTGCTCGATGCGCGACGGGAACGACGTGTCCATCACGTACGGCTCGCGCAAGCGCGCCAAGTCCTGGCCCGCAAACATCTTCTGCTTGCCGGCCGCCAAGTCGAGCAACACCAAGCGCAACACCTCGCCGAGGTAGTAGCCCAGGATCATCTTCTCGAACGCCTGCTGGCCGGGCCGCGGCGACTCCGCGTCGATCTGCTCGTCGTACGCGAGCCGCGGCAACACCGCGTGCTCGTTGTCAAACAGCCCGTACTCGCAGTTGATGGCCATGGGCGTGGCCGCACACACGTCGTCGCACAAGCGGCCCTGCAACTTGGGGATGGCGCCGCACTCGTCGAAGTACGCGCCGTTGACGCCGGTGCCGAAAATGAGCCCCATCTTGGTCTCCGCGTCCGCGTACATGGACGCCACGAGCGTGCCCGTGGTGTCGTTGATCAACGCCACCACCTGCACCGGCACCTGCAACTTCTCGATGGCCGCCTGCAACATGGGCACCACGTCGTGGCCCTCCACGCCCGGGATGTTGAAGCCCTTGGTCCACCGCTGCAACACGCCCTGCGTGATGCTGTCCTGCGACGCCGGGTACGAGAACGTGAACCCGAGGGGCAACGGCTGCGCCACGCCCTGCGGGAAGAGCTCGTGCACGAAGCGCTGCAAGCACGACGCGATGAAGCCCCACAACTCGTCCGCGGCGGCCTCGCGCATGGTCAGGGGCAACGCGTACTTGGACTGCGTGGTGTCGAACTTGGACTGCCCGAGCAACCGCACCAACACCACCCGCAAGTTGGTGCCGCCCAAGTCGATGGCCAAGTAGTCGCCGGTCTCGTTTCCGGTGGGGAAGTCAAGCACCCACCCGGGGATCATGGGGATGTTGCCGCCGGCCGTGGACAAGCCCTTGTCCAACTCGCCCACAAAGTGCTCCGTGATCTGCTTCAACTTGTCGCCGGACACGTGGAAGAGGTCTTCCAACGCATGGACCTCGTCGAGGAGGGCCTGCGGCACGTCGGTGAACGTGCCCTTTCTGTGCTGCGGAGCCTTGGGTCCCAATCTGACCATTGTGCTGTGATGTGCTGTGATGTGATGTGATGTGTCGTGATGAGACGTGACGTGTCGTGTCGGGATGTGACGTTTGGACTTGGGTTTTATAGGGTGTCTGCGGGTCGGCGAAACCGGAGGGGATTTTTCCGGCTTTATAATGCACCGTGCGCCCAAGCGAGCATCGTGTGCGCACCGGTAACCGCATGACGCAGCGCGGTGCGCGCAGAGGGCCGGCACGAAACCTAAAAAGCAACCAAGCGGGCGCGGCCGGGAATCGAGCGGCCGCGGTGGGGAACTGGGGGTGAGGTGGGGAACTGGATGGGTGCAAATGGTCATCCTAGAAATGGTGTGGGAATTTGTAAAGACTTTCGTAGACGTGGTCTGGGAATGGTCACTTTTTCTGAACGGAGGAGGCTTCTGACCGTTTGGGGCCACTGTCCGTAGTGCTGCTTGTCTTTGGCCGTTTGCCTCGTTCGTCCGGTTTGGGGGTTGTTGTCGATGATGTCTTTTGTGTTTTATTTATAGTGTTTTTTTTTTTTTTTTAAATGATGTTTTCTCGGTCGGTTCCTGTATTGGCTGGATATTTTCTACATTCACTGTATTTGATTTGTCACGAGTCGTCAGTAGAGTCGTCAGTAGGGTCGTCACTGCATTTGCACTATATTCGGCACTATATCCTTCACTATCGTCGTCACTTCACTCGTCACTACGTTTGTCACTATATTCTTCATTATATTCGTCACTATAGTCGTCACTACATTCGTCACTGCATTCGTCACTATATTTTTCACTAAATTCGTCACTTTATTCGTCACTATATTCTTCATTATATTCGTCGCTACATTCGTCACTATATTCGTCGCTACATTTGTCACTATATTCTTGACTATAGTCGTCACTATAATCGTCACTACAATTGTCACTAGAGTCGCCACTACAGTCTTCACTGCATTCGTCACTATACTGTCACTATACTGTCACTATATTCGTCACTATACCGTCACTATACTGTCACTTCATTCGTCACTATACCGTCACTATACTGTCACTTCATTCGTCACTATACCGTCACTATACTTGCACTCGTCACTATACTTGTCTATATGTGTCTCGAGATCTTCATTTAGAATTCCCGACACAAGCCACTATATCTCCCTGGATATTTGCCACTATGTTTGCCTTGGTTCGCCTATCGCGCTCTGTACTTGCTCCTCTATATCTGTCTCTATGCTCGTCCATATTGTCAACATTTAACACAATCATCTCTACATTTGTGTACTCTCCAATTGATAGCCTCTACATTTCCCCTTAGTTTCTCTTTTTTCCTATTTCCCTATTTCTATTTCCCCATCTTCCCACTTCTCCTACTGCTATCAACATCTTAGTCCCAGAAAACGTCCCCACCCTGCTCAGTATTGCCATCATGCCGACCCGCGCTTGCTTTCCGCATTGGGCGCCGCCCGCTTTCGGCTGCTCGCGAGCCGCTCGCCGGAAAAATAAGGCCACCCAAAAAATACTCTAATTTCCGCAGCTCTCCGGCAGCCCACGCCGCATTGGGCGGGCCTTTCCCTCGCGTCCTCACTTTGGGGTGCATAGCCAAATTACCCCAGTCCACGTGTTAAAAGTGGCGTGCGTGGCTCAAAAACACCGGCCGCCTCGTATACGAGATGTATGTTGGCAGTGCGGGATCTATGTTTTGTGCCAGATATTTGTTCTGTGCCAGATGTATGTTTTGTGCCAGATGTATGTTCTCAGTGCCTGTCCTCTTGCATACTGGCCCCAGTGGCTCAACAGACAGCAAACCTCGTAGTCGTATCGGGCCCCACAAATTAAGCCCTTTGCAGGCCGGATCACTCGCGCATGAATACACCGTCCCATTTTTTGGCAAGTGTTGCCCGGAAAAACCCAACGCTGGCGCCATTCCCGCGCTGTGTACAGCGTATGCGCTTAGAGAGACCTCCGGGTTCTGAGCCACTCATTGCCCTGTTTTTCGGAAGGATCTAGCTCAAATGAATCATGGTCACCCATGGTCCTGGCCTCCTGGTGAGAAGCCCTTTTTTCTGACATCCCTTTACTTCTGATCATGGGCCTCGTATCCTACTCTCCGTTTTCAGCGCAAAGAGGATCTTCATTCTGGAAGCCTCGTGGAAATGAACCTGCCATATAATATCAATGTGTCGCGTCCCGGCAAAATTGGGCCACAAGGCTGGTACCAACAGGAACTGAAGGAAGGACGTTGTCAGTAGTGGAGCCTGGGGCTCAGTAGCTTGGCAGATAACATGCAGTCCAACACTAGCTCGGTCTTGTTTCTGTGAATTGCTGATTTGGATTGGTTCGAAAAATCTGCTGTATTCCAAGGTCAAATGAGATCGTAGCTTTTGCCTGCGCCCCGCTTAAACTGGGCTGAGCTTGCGCTCCAGAACGGCAATTGAGGTCCAGTCCACGAATGAATTGGGACGAGAGCCCTCAGACATTCACAAGATTTTTTGAAAAAACTTGTATTTTCCCAGACCAAGTACAAAAACGGATAATGTCTTTGGCTTTGGCTGGGAAAAGTTGGGTGCAAATCATTTGAGGGAATTGGGCCGCCACGCAAACATTCTTCAAACAAGGTCAAATCCCTCATGACCATGAGCTTCGCAGTGTTTACTAGGTCATAATGAAAGAAAACACAAAGGAGTCATTTGAGTCAATGTTTGAGCACTGTATGGAACACTGTCGATAGGTGTGGAACGACCGGAAGTCGTATGCGGCACAGGAAGCCAGATTTTGAAGAGAAAATATAGCTGGTCTGTGATACAATCTACGAGTGTAGGCCCGATACCAACCTTGAAATACTTGTAGAGGATGCGGCTTTTGCAATATATTTTTTTTCAATGACTTGAAATCTATCATTGACCCGTGAGCTATCTTTCGAAGGGTCTGTGGTCACAGATAATATGGCAAAATGCCTTAAGACGCAATCGGCTCCTCTGAGTGTCAACTTTTCAGAGAAACACCCCACATCAGGGGACCAGAACGGCTCCCTGCGGATGTGTTGAATCCATCTGTTTGAGGAACATAACAACTTAGTACTATCTTAAAACTTCTAACACGTACCTTGTATAAAAAAGGGAAAATTTATCTTCGTTCATCACAGCCCGGGTGATCCTCTTGTCACGCATGAAAAGTACTTCGACAAACTAGGATAAGTCTGTTGTGGGAGTCGCTTCCGCTCAGAAGGTCGAAGAGAACTTAGAAAGCTTACTTCTCCGTTTTCGGCATCTTGTGGTGTATAATTCAAAGACAAGAGCCACTGGGAACCCGAAAAATCTTTTGTAGAAACAAAAAAATGAAAGAAAAACGATGCAACTGGTTTGTCGGACGAATATTTTCAAGTTAGAATGTATATTGTGAGACCACTAAATTTTTTACCTCCGGTTGCAGCCATACCACGGAGAACACACTGTTTCCCGTCCGATCAACGCTAGTAAAGCTCCGTAGGGCCACACTGATTAGTGCAGTGGGAGGCCATATGCGAAATTGTGGTGCCGCAATCTTTTTGACATTTGTTTATAAGTGATATAGCCCGGGCGTTCTTCTTGTTGATTCTCTCGCATTGTGGATGATGCAACCTGGTACTCATTAGTATACTGGGTATGTGCTTGCTGGCTCCTGAAGAAAATGATGCTCGTGCGCTCCGTACAAGGTCTTTTCCTGAAGTTACAGACGTCTAAACATAGACGATCAATTCAGTAGATAATGGCAGGCTTCTTCTGAAGAGTCTGAAGAAAAGCTTACACGCGACTGGAATTGCCGGGTGCTCAGGCATTGTCATAGCTGGTTCTGACGAAGGTTTCCATCCAAACAAGCCCTTGTATTCCCTAATAGGGATGAGAAGTTGTTTTTCCTGAACCAACAAAACCCCTACACGAGAATATACCCAGGGCTAGCTTTTGCGGGCCAAGAAAGCTTGTCTTTGAGTATTCTACTGGAAACCAGGGTATCTTTTCGTTTCTTTGTGCCTAGATCAAAGAGGCCTTTGAACCTCAAGAATTGCCTGATGCAGCCGGAGATGATCCAAAATCTTAGAATGTACTGGAGTGCCTCTAGATGCATGTGAATATCACGACCATCGCCACATGTTCTGAAGTCGTTTCAATGAGCCACATGTATGAGCAAGCAACGCCTGCAGTTATTTCTGCACCAAGTGCAACAGGTGAAACGACTGTCGATGGCAATCCGAGCCAGCATCAAAACCTCACACCGTAGAGCCGAAACATGGATGGGCATTCACAAGCGTGTGTTTTGAAGAAATCGGGCATATGTCCCCAGCACGCTTTGGGCTACCATCCCTCACAACCCTCAATCAAGGAGCCACAATGGCCTTCTGAACTTCCAAGCCCACGCGAGCAAAACCTGGAGTTACCAACATAAAAACAAGCAGATTCAAGCAAGCAGATCCAAGGAGCAAGAAGCCAAGCAGACACTCATAAAGGAATCAGAGTCAAGACAGACAACTGGCAAGCAAAACTCCACGCAGACACTCAAAAAGGAATCAGAGTCAAGGCAGACAATTGGCAAGCAAAACTCCACGCAGACACTCAAAAAAGGAATCAGAGTCAAGACAGACAACTGGCAAGCAAAACTCCACGCAGACACTCAAAAAGGAATCAGAGTCAAGACAGACAACTGGCATGCAAAAAGCCACGGAGACACTCATAAAGGAATCAGAGTCAAGACAGACAATCAGCAAGCAAAACTCCACGCAGGCATATCTCGCACAAGCAGAAGCACTACCACAACTTCTTCGTCACCAGATCAAAGTCACGCATCTTCTCGCTTACCTCCCCAAGGCTGTCTCTGACCTCCAGCGCATATTCATTGAGCTCGTCGAAATCACGCGACTGCGCCGTCTCGACCAGCGGCGCCGCTGTTGCCGAGAAAAAGTCACTCATGCGTTTCCGTGTGCGTTCCTGCTGTTGGAGGATGTCTTCTTCATCCACACTGACAAGTTCCGAGTGTTCCTTGGCCAGCTGGCGGCGCTGTTCCCTGGCCCGGTCGCTCAGCGCCTGGTGCCTGGAAATCACCTCGAGAAGCCGCGACTGTGAGCTCTTGAGCTGGGCCAATGAAATCGAGAAGTCGTCGGTGAAAAAACCACCGGTGCGGTCCACTTCTTCGGCCATGGCCTTGACATCGTCCAACACATCGATCTGTGTCCAGAGCTTGTCCAGCGCAGCCACGCTGGCCCTTGCTATTGGAAGCCTGTCTACGGTCAAGACACTCCGCGCAGACCCGTCGGATGTGCTTGTTATCATATCGCTGCCTGAGCGGCGAGTTCGGGATGGCATTTCAGCCAGCAGCCCACTGGGAAGAGACATCTGGAGCAGTGGCCAATGGAATGTCTGTTGAGCTAACTGGCCTTTTTGGAGAACCAAGGTGAAACTACCGAAAACAAGAGTTTATATAGGCCAAGAAAGCACGTACTGAGTTTGGGTGCACACTGGGTAAACGTGACGTGGTTCTAGGGCCGGCCCTAAGATCCGCGCCCGCGGGCGAGGGAAATTGGGGCCGGCTGGGTAGACGGTATTTTGAGGCCCGCCATCTTGGGTTGATTGGAGCATAATATTGGTATGGCGGGGCAGATCTTATCATAGCACGTCAAGAAAAGGAGGGAGCAAAGACAATGTTGTTTTTGGCCGTCAGTGGTGTCTTTTGGCCGCATGGCATTTATGGCACTAGGCCCGAGAGACGGGGGGCCTGGCCTGGGCGCGCGGGCCCAGAACTCATACTGTGGCCCCAACTTATACTGCGGCCCCAGAACTTATACATTGGAGGCCCCGTCACCCAAGCACGTTTGAGTATACGCCTTTGCGGACAGCGCAACACCGGCCACACGCCAACTAAATCCCGGCTCTTCGACCAAAGACCAAGGCCATGGCATTGAAAACAGACCCCCAAAAAAATCACGGTGACAGGGCCATGTTCCATCTGCCGGGAACCATCTCTGCCGCTCATACATGGAGGAAACTCCTATATCTTCGGCAGCCTTTCCCCGACAACTACACCCACGTGTCGTTTCTAGACCAGCTCAAGCGAAACACCACCGTGGCGCAGTACTCATACTTCAAGTTGTTCAACGACTTTTCGCTCGTGGCCCTCTACGGGCTGCTTTTGCTTCTAGCCAACGTGAACTTCTCTGCCATATACTCGTCTCTATGGGGCGCCAGAATCCCCACCGTAGCGTCATCTGCCGTGTCTCTCGTTTTGCTAGCTACGGACGCCAGTAGCGCTTCTGGGCGCCGCCACTTGAAGCTGTACGCGGTGATCACAATGCTCTTGCTTATATTTTCCCCCACGCTCCGATCCTTGACCCGGTCGTCGTCGCTGGATTCAGTGTGGGCGCTTTCGTTCATCCTCACCTGTGTCAACGTCGTGTATCACGATTATGGACTAGACCCAGCATCACTGTACAAATCCGTGGTCTCAACTAACCTATCGTTTGCCAACGCAATAGTGCTAGCCTCGCGGCTCCTGCTGTCAATGGCAGCGTTTTCGTATCTCATGTTTTCACTTGAGGTGTGTGTGCTCATGCCCGTGTTTGACTTTCGCTTGCGTCAGCATTTTCCGCGTATCCACTACTTGGGCATGGCTTTGGTATGTGTGCTTGTGTCCACGATGTTGTATTTTGTCCACGGCTTTGTTTTTGCCTTGGGCTACCTTGTGAGTGTGGCGTTTGTACTGTTTGGACTCCCGCTGTATTTCTTGTTCTTGCAGAAGTACAAGAACGAATTGCAAGGGCCGTGGGACACGGCCAAACCAATATTCCGATCCTCGACGTGACAGGTCTGAAAGGGCGATGGGGTTTATAATACTCATAAACTTCCAAACATTCATTTCTTACACCGCATGCTGATCTGTGTCGGAGATGATAGTTATGACCCGAAGAGCAAAACATGGAACTTTCACTAGTGAGACTGTGGATTGCAATCATGTGACAGGTGAACCAGAAGCAAATTTAAGTCAATTCGTACAATTTCAATTGGCATACTGGCAAACACGAAAACGGAGCCACTACGATTCATTGATGATGCCATTTGCAACAATCCTGTTTTTCGTCTCTTCAGAACTATCAGATCTCAGAATGCTCATAGAACGAATCGCTTGATTCGAATCGTCAGTCATGTTAGCTTTAACAAACAAAGAAGCTTTGCTTCGAGTTTGTAGCAATTGACACGTCAAAGTAATCTTCCTATATTTGCCTCTTGTTATCAAGTCCCAAACATTCGAGTCTCTTCAAAATGCAACAGAACTGAAAAACTGGAGCTCCAAAATTCATCCAACTTATAATGGTCTGCAATAGGCTAGCTTTGATTGAACAGGATGACATTTGAAAACTCTCAGTACAGAATGCCCTCCAGGCTAGTAGAGTGCCTCTAGCACTTTTTTGGAGTTATGGCCTGAAACAATTCATTTTTCTCAATTTTTGGGACTGGGTGCAAATTGAGTGTAGCTCGATTTGACTGGTCCAAAAATTGTTTTTGAAAAGAAGATTGCAGCACGATTCCGCATATGATCTTATACTACACTACTCAGTATGGCCCTACGGAGCTTAGCTAAAGTTGTATTGACGGGAAACAATGCACCGTGGTATTTTCTTTTAAGAAACATCAAATTATGGAACGGCGCATAGTAACCACAGAACTGCATGCTTCCCACACATAGCAGCCCTATCAGTACGACAAACGATATACTCTGCTGATAAGCCCATAATTGATCGTACTGTTATATCGAGTAGGTGAGTTTTCATCAATCTGCGAAATAAACCACAACATATCTCCTCAATGACATGATCGAGGCTCCTCCCTGCTCAACATAACACCACTTTTTGTGACACCTGCTTTTACCTGTTTCAGATTTGTCCCAGGTTTACCCTCTGAAGACATGACTTTGTAAGTGTGGAGTTTCAGGTTTGACCGTATTGCATGTTGAAAAGGACTTTACTGGTCATGTCGTAACGATCGTTACATGGCATGTGGTCAGGCTTATTGTCAAGCTCTCTTATGGCGTTGTTGCGATATTTCACTAGTTGTTGAAATTTATTCAACGTGCGTTCTGTTCCGGTTCTAGCTCTCTTCATGGCCGGATTATCTTCCCTTGGGTTGACATTTTCAAAGTCTCTGAGACTTTTTTCCAATTTAGCAACTATTGCAGCTGCAAGATTCTTTGTTTGGGATGTTCTTATAAGGTAGTCTTTCATGTGTCCCACTGTGCTCTTACGTGGTGGAATTTTGTCCAGCCCGAGTTTAATCAACACATGTGCCTCCGTTTTCCCTGAGCGGTTTCCCAAGTTCCTGGACTTGAATTTCAAGATTCTGTCCGAGGAATCAAGAAAAAAATCTTCGTAATATTCTTGAGGATTTTTCATTGGCCAATACGTGATGTTGGTATAAAGAAGTCTACCGTGACTTTGATTATTTTTCACAAAAGAGAAGAGCTTGTCTTGGTCTGCGTCAAAAGCAATCTCTTGATGAATCAACATATCATCGATCAGTCTTTTGATCTCGGCGGGCATCAAAATATTATGAGTATCCACTTCCAAGTCTCTAAGGTGGTTGCATGTTTCATTGGTATCCACTATAGGGAAATATGCTTTTCCGTGGGCAATCCTGATGTGTTCCATTGCTTTGTAAGTCACGTATTCCATGACGGTACTATCAAGCGTTTCGTAACAGCGTGCTTATGTCGTCTCGATTATTTCCTGTAACTCCTCATTGGTCGAATCAATGTTCGTCTCTCTCATATTGATTTGTGCATCAAAAGCTTTCTTCATCTTCTCCCTCGTGGAGAGGAGCTTCAGCTTTGTTTTCTCAAGGCTGTTGGTGATTTCGAGTAAGAACAGTTTTTTGATTTCCAGGGGTGTGAGCTGGAAGTCGTTAACTATGTCAAGCCGGTGAGTCTGCAGATTGTTCGGAATTTCATTGAGAAGTGCCACTTATATCTCTTGAGGGGCTGAGTCCATCAATGCTCTAAATTGGTTTCTTTGATGATAGGCTTTGTTCCTGAACACTATCTTCTGCATGCCTTTCTTTCCTTCACTGAGAAGAAATTCAAGATCCAGTTCTCCGGTTACATTTTCTTTATCACTGTCAATCTCTTTTATCGATAAATTTGAGACTTCATCCACAATCTCTTCTTTAATGCCACTCACATGTCTTCCTGGGTGCTTCTTCTGGGGCTTTTGGGTATGGTGACTCCCCTTAATCTTGTCTGCAGGTACACGTCCCTCGTTCAACACGTTGCCTTTCCTCATAAGTGACTTTGAGTTTGGCTTTGATGCTTGCGCCCATGTCTTGCCGTTTTTCTTTTCCGTTCTCTTTTTCAATTGCATCTTTTCTCTTCTTCTTAGCCTTTCATTGACTGAAATTTATCCATCGTTGATGTCCTCTCTACTCTTCTTTGATTCACCTTGCGCATTCGCGGGATTATCAGAATCGAAGTTCGGACCAGGTGGGCCAAGGCAGTTCGATTGCCGGTTGGAGTCTGGAAGGCCGCCTTGGTGAATGTAACTGGAGGTATGGCTGTTTTCTTTTTTGGGGCCGTGAGTATTATTCATCATCTCGAAATAGAATGTAGTGTTTTTCTTCTTTCAAAGAAGCACATGTATTTCCCGAGACAGGAGCGAGAACTTACGAGAAACCCCTGACCATTGCACGGGCCCCTACCCTGTACACACCCACAATTTTTTTAATGAGCCGAGATCCGAGCCCAGGTTTATTTGACCATGAATGACATATATGCGATTTACACCTTGACCGTCATGGCAAGGAAGGATTTCAGCGCCCTCATTTGTTTAATTTTGAGTCGTATGGACCCATTCCCAATGCAGTCCAGCCATTGTTATATGCCGTCCCTTAGTTTGATGTTTCTTTAACGGGTACCAGAGAACAAACGTTAGTTCAGGTCTGTGGGGCCGCACTGGGCAGTGTAGTGAGAGAGTATATGCGAGGCGTGTTGCGATTCATTTTTCATAAAATCAAATCTCCGAGAGCTGCTAGTAAAGAGTTCTTCACCTGCTTTACAAGCCTATCGATGTCACACCGATTGCACTACATACGCTCCACGGGTATGAAGAGACTTGACGAAAGAAAAGTACTCGGACTGCTTTTCATTAAACGCACAGAGCCATCAGCATTTGAAAAACCACCCAGTCAACCATTATGATAAGTTGGTGGTTTAGGCATCTTCAATTTTATCTTGCATTCAACACATAATTTACTCCATTGTAGTAATCTTTTCGAGTTTCTAATTTCTCCTTCTTTTCACATACCCCTATTCTATGCTTTACAACTGAATTTTTTTTATCATCATGACGGTTATATTTATCCATGGTACAATTGGTATGGGATTCGGATTCTAATATACCAACAAGCAATTATCCGCGAGGCTCATTCCTGAACTTGACATGAAGCTGCAGACACCAGCCGAGCGGAACTAAACGGGACACCAATCCCAAAGCTATCCCAAACCGAGAAACACAAACGGACAGCCAGAACAAATAAAAGAAAGGTTCAAACCATCAAGGGCCAACCCATATCAAACACTGGCGCGTCTTGGTCGGCGGCGGTCGTGTGCTCACCAAAAACTCCAGCGCGAACCGTGCACTCAAAACACCTCTTCAAGGCGCCAAACTCCTTCTTCCTTCCCTCATATCCACCCACACCATCGTGGACCGCGGCCATCCACACCCACCCTAGCCCCCTGCGGACGACCTGACCCGCCAGCGTGCGAAAAAACTCGCCCTCTCCTTTTTTTCCGGCCGAAATAGCGCCCCCACTCGGTCCACAAATGGCGCTGAACTCCACGCCCAACTCACAGCCGCCACAGGCCGCCACGGCGGCGCCTTCGCAAGCTGCAAATGCAGGTGCCGGCTCCACAAACACAGGCGCCGCTTCCGCGCCGGTTGCGGCCCCCCTGGCGCCGGGCCAGCCCGCCAAACAGCCGCCGCCAAGAGCCGGCCAGCAGCAATACACACAGGCGGATCTCAACCGCATCGTCATGGAGTACCTCAACAAAAAGGGCTTCCACAAAACGGAGGCCATGTTCCGCATGGAGAGCCTCAACCTGGCGACGCCGGCCGGGCCTGCAGTGACTCCGGCAGTGACCCCGATGGCCGGGCCAGGGGAGATTCTGCGGCCGCCCACGGGCGGCTCGGCGCGCTACCCGCGGCTGGAAAGCGAGTTGCGTGACTTGCGCGAGCGCGTGGTGACCACGGAGCGTGAGTTGCGCGAGACCAAGGACCGCGAGCTGCAGTTGGCCAAGGAGCGCGAGCTCCGCATGTTGCGCGACGAGGAGGAGAAGTACCGCCGCGAGAACGACCCGGAGAACTACTCGCGCGCGTACCGCGTGTTGCGTGGCTGGGTGGAGTCGTCCTTGGACTTGTACAAGCCCGAGTTGGCGCGCTTGATGTACCCTTTGTTCGTGCACTGCTACCTCGAGCTCGTGGCCAAGGGCTATGCCGCGGACGCCAAGGTGTTCTACGACAAGTTCTGCGCGGACCACCGCATTCTCCACGGCTTGGAGGTGCGCCTGTTGGGCGGCATCTCCTTGCCCCAGCACCTCCGCGAGAACCCGTTGGCCCAGGCCTACCGCTCCAACAAGTACCGCATCCTCGTGTCCAAGACCACCATGAACTTGTTGCTCTACTTCCTTCATGAGAACGAGGCCGTGGGCGGTGCGGTCTTGATCCGCATCATCAACCAGTACCTCAACCCCATCATCGCCACCACGAAGCCCGACCGAATCGCCCAGGAAGGCGAGGCCGACCCCACCGAAGGCATCCCGGGCTATCTCGCCAGCACCAACGAGATCGAAAAGTTCAACGAGCAGTCTGTGTCCTTGGGCAAAATGCCCCTCGACCCGGACGTCGAGAAAGAGCTCGAGGCCGAGTTGAAGGTCAAGGACGAGAGCTCGCCGCCCGTCAACGGCAAGTCCCTCGTCCAGGAGTTCGAGGAAATGACTGCGGCCGAGAAGGACTCGCCCGCGCCAGACTCCCTCCCGTTGCCCATGAAGGACGCCAGTGACATCAAGCGCATGATCTTGGCCGTGGAAGACTCCCGCTCCAAAATAAAATTGGGCGCAATTCAGGCTAGCGCCCCATCCGTGTGCATGTACACGTTCCACAATACGAACAACGACCTCACCTGCCTAGAATTCAACCAGGACTCGAACTTGGCAGCTGGCGGTTTTCAGGACAGCTACATCAAGCTCTGGAGTCTAGACGGCCGCCCATTGAAGTCGCTCTTGAAGCGCGACCCCCACAATAATGACAACTCCCGTAAGTTGATTGGCCACAGCGGGCCCGTATACGGAATGTCGTTTTCTCCGGACAATAAGTACTTGGTGTCTGCGTCGGAAGACAAGACTGTGAGACTTTGGTCTCTCGATACCTACACCGCTCTTGTGTCTTACAAAGGGCATAACCTGCCAGTTTGGGATGTCAAATTTTCCCCGTTGGGACACTACTTTGCAACTGCCTCTCACGATCAAACTGCAAGATTATGGGCCACGGATCATATATACCCATTGCGAATTTTCGCCGGCCACATCAATGACGTGGATTGCGTTGAGTTCCACCCAAACTCCAATTACGTCTTCACAGGCCTGTCAGACAAGACTTGTCGCATGTGGGACGTACAAACGGGTAATGCGGTGAGAATATTCATGGGTCACACCGGTGCTGTCAATTGTATTGCTGTTTCGCCTGATGGAAGATGGCTAGCCAGTGCAGGCGAAGACAGCATGGTTAATATATGGGACATTGGATCGGGAAGGCGAATGAAGACGATGAGAGGCCATGGACGCAGCTCCATTTACTCATTGTCTTTTTCCCGTGATGGAAGTGTACTCGTTAGTGGTGGAGCTGACAATACTGTGCGTGTTTGGGACGTCAAGCGCAACACCTCTGATTCAGGCCCTTTGCCGGAGGCTATTTCGGGAAATGAGGGTCGGAATGGTATGACCAATGCCAATGACGGTACAAAGAAGCCTGCAGAAAAGACTAACAGAAAAGAAATCATTGCAACTGCTGACCATTTGACCGCCTACTTCACGAAGAAGACGCCCGTCTATAAGGTTCACTTCTCAAGACGCAATTTGTGTCTTGCCGGAGGCGCTTTGCTATCTTGAAACATTCAGACTGGTTTAAGGAATTTCTGAGCAACTACAAGACGAGACAGCCTTCTGTCTGAGTTGTGTTGTTGTTTCGGGCTCAAATCGTGAATGACCATGGAGGTGGCTTCCAAGGTCTAGGTCAGAAACGCGTAATCGGTACTCATACATCCTGCCATTCTTTGTCACACTGATTAATGGATTTAGAGTTGGCTGAAGGTACCTGTATGCTTCGCGCTGAAATCTCATAATTTACTTCAAAGGATTGCACGCATTAAGGAACAAGATTCCGCATTAAGTTCAGAGAATATATCTGTTTGGTCTTTCGACATGAATCAAATTTTACACCACCACCAATATTTTCTCAAATGAATGTCATTTTATTTCCTTACATTACTTGCTACATGTATTTAGATTACGAAGACCCATTGGGCTTCAAACATAATACTCTTGGTCTATAAAAGCAGGCATTTCGCATTTGACAATAAAACATACAAGCTGATAGACGGCTACTGGTTATAAAGTGAAACCTGGTGCCGTGGCTGCAATTTTCTGGGCTGATTGAATACAAAACAGACGATAGTCATCATTGTTGGAATCTTCCCCGTGACGGAGTCAGAAGCAGGTGCCAAGATAGCTTATTTGATTTTTCAGGTCATACGAGTCATTTGGCACAGAACTTGGAAAATTTCATCCCGCTGGTTGATGCACGTTTGAGTGACGGTACCCGTCCTCTATCAGTGCACAATGCCAAGAACACAAAAGTGGCTCACTGAAGCGGCGCAGTGATGAAAAGCATTAGGTAATGAATGTTCCCTAGAAAGTGGTCTAAGCAGTCTAAAGGAATGCTTTGTATGATTGACTTGCCTGTTTTGGTGTCTCCATTGTATTGTGAATATAGGTCAGCAATGTCTGAGATGAAGAAGCTTAAGTTGCGGTTCAAAAGTGCTAGCCCGCGCTCAAAACGGACGTTTCTTGGGTACTTCTTGCCATCCGTCCCCACAAGACCGTCCAGCATCTTCCCCGATTGCTCGATATCATAATAGAGCGGATAGGTGACAGTTGTGGACACGTGCATTGCCACGGGCGTGGCTCTATTATTCGACACCACTTGCTGCGGAGAAAGATGCTCCACCAAAAAGCTCCTGGACCCGGCATATGTCATTTGATACTTCAAGGACACCCCCGTGACCGACGAGAGCATATTCAAAAGCGCAACGATTTCGGAAAGCCCGGCATTTATGCAGTCGACCAGCGAAGAGTAAACATGGGCCATGCCATCGAGTGGATTAGGAATGGAAACAGGGTGGAGTTTGGGCTCCCCATTGTAACACACGTCGAGGATCTCGGCAATCGAGGACGGGAACTCTATGCCAGAGATTGAATGATGGGTGGAGTTTTCGGCCATTTCGATGGGAAACGCGTGGATCACCTCGGAGACTATGCGACGCATGGAAGAGAGAATGTGGGGGAAGACCGAGTGCTCAAGCGAGTCATGCAAGGATGCAACCTGCGAGGCCACAATTGCTTGTTTTTCCTCGAGAAGGCTTTTGTAGCACGGGAAGTCGTCCTGGATAAGCCGGGCTCTTTCTTTGACAATGTTGCGCGTGGCGAGAATGCGAGATTCCAAGTTCTCATTCGCGGTCTCCTGCTTTGCAATGAGTTTTTCCAACTGCGGAAGCCAGTGGACCAAGCGGTCCCGCCTGAATGGACGCAGCACGTTTCTGGCCACAAGAGTATCGATCTCTGTGGACGTTGCGGTTTTGATGTCATCGAAATCACGAACACCCCTGATAAGGCTGCTCATGTGCCGGACATCGTCCACAGTGTACGAGGGTTTTGCCTGTTTTTCTCGACGCTTGGGGGCAGGCGCCGTTTCCGCTCGGCCAGCCACACTTTTGGCTGGGGCGCTCTCTAGATGGGCCGGTAAACAGTATGCTTGGCCTTCGAATTGCCACACTATGGCGTTGGCAGAAAGCCCGTTGTCGTGTGTGTCCTGCGATATATCTGCGAGCGGCACGAGATTCCGCACATCCGCCTTCAAATCGTAGAAAAGGCGATATTTGACCGATTCCTCGTTTGTAGAAACCCAGACATTGACCCGTGCTCGAAAGCTCTGCTGGGGCATGGCAGGAAGCGAAACCACGCCGAAATTCATCCGGGTATTTGCACTGATCGTCTCACTCACATAGAGAAGATTGGCCAGAATCTCGGGGCTCGCCACCGGCAGCAGATGGCCCTCTTGTGGGGCCACAGATTCATTACCAGCATCCTCAGGCATATAGTGAAGAGTGAAGAAAGCCTGCGCAAAGGCAGGAAAGCCAGCGGGCCGGAGCTGCACATTCACGAGTCGGAGGGATTCTAGATTCGGGAGGCGCGGGCCAGCCATTGGCTTCGACTTTGTCCGGGCGAAAATGAGAAAACCAGACTTCTGTTTCCTGGTTCCACCGATCTGTAGAACAGAGTGCAAGTTATCGCTACTGATAGAGGGTCGCGCCCCAAGACCCGTGCCTCCCACATATTGGCCGGTGCATCATCAGACGGCAAATGCTAGTTGCTGGCATGGCTGTAGATTCGAGAGCCGGACGCGACCCGGGCTGGTGGTGTCTTGGTTATCTAGAGCAGCTTCAGCGAAAGAAGAGAAGGCGGGTGTTTTGCTCTGGAATTCAGTGAAGTGTTGTTGTTCCAGCAGATGAGATTCATTTCAAAGATGAGATTCATTTCGGTGCGAAAACAGAGTCTTGGTTAAATTAAAGGTTTGGCGCATTGGCTATTTATTGTTTTCAAGCCGAGTCTCTTCTCCCTAAATAGCTCCTTTTGGATCTCCACGAAACCATCCTGAAAGTGGAAACTGGTCTGCTTTAATTACAACATGGGGACCTCGATTGACATACGTCCCCACCCATCTCCGGGGAAGAGCCGGACATCCTGTGCATACTGGGCCTGAGACTGCGTGGGTTTCCAGTAATGAACTAAAAGTAGCATCCCAACTCAACTGTATATACATACAGTTTGCCTGACGCGCAGGTAGACTCAGAGCCTCACTATTCACACTATTCCGTAAACTCTTATCCTGACAAATTTTGGAGCTGCAGCACCAGATTCTCGACAGAAGCAATCTGTTCCCGGCAAACTGGATACAAACCTGGGAAAGCACCAAGAGCCACTCTCACAAGCGACACAGAATGCCGTCGCCCCGCTTCGTGGTCTGCTTGGCCCATTTCTGTGAAATCCACGGGCCCTCCACCATTATATGCACCCAGCGACAGACAAGCACGGGCCCCATGCTGACATCAACTCTTTCCCTGTGTGAAAGCTGTGCCCTAATATTACCCAAAGACGCCACTAATATAGTGACGGATGTGGGCGGGCGCTCTACGGGGGCGCCTTCCAAAACAGACCCCAGTTTAAAGAGAAGTGGCTCTTTGCACGGAGAAGCCAGCGCACAAGAATATGGCGCAAGCCCACAATGCTACATTTCCACCAAGTACCCCCAGTCCCCACGGCTCTACACGTCTCTTATGAAACTAGTGATGAAATGCTTGTCCGTAGAGGCCACGGCCGACCCACTGAAACCGCTTTTCTATGGGGACGCCACCAACGGTTTCTGCCTCAGCAAGGTGTTCAGCATTCCAGATCTACATGCCCGCGGAGCCGAGCGCAAGTACGCGTTTTTGGTTTTGTGTGACTCGGAAACCCGTCTCTTGGAACGGTGGCATTTCGTGTCCAGTTATATCTCTGAAATGATTGCATTTTTGCAGACCAAGGTCGAGGCCGTGCGAGACCAGGCGAAAATCGAGAGCCTTGACAATGAGCGGTATTTGCGGCGCCTGAAAAACATGCCGCGGAGCCTAGTGGAGTTGGCTGGCGACAAGGAGTTGTTTGTGAGGCTACATCTCTGTGGCATTGAGCTACTACGCGACGTTCGGTGACGTGTTTGTAGTACATCGATATATTGTGGAAGCTTTTGCTGCCGATCTCTGAGGAAGTTGACAGATAACGTTTGTGTGGCGGAGATTCAGTGTGTGTCACGATGTCCCGGCTGGAGACATCACATGATGGATTACACCATGGGCCAAAAGCCTAGGCTGGGATATGTGGCTCACTTGCGCATTTCAATAGACTTGAAGCGGACTAAAAAGCACACTATAGGCAAAAGTGACGGGTGTTGCTTTCAACTTATCGCCAAGTTCTGATCTGAGCGCCACAGTGTTCCACAAGCTAGATGCTGGCCGGTATTAGTAGGTGTTTGAGACTTCCGTCTGCTTCATGAAATGAACAGTGTTGCTAATAAATGCCACCTCTAATAATATGATACATTAGAACATAGATCAGCGAGCTGCCTGCGACTTGCGCACGCTCGCAGCAACGCCACCACTGTGACCTTCTTTCATTTGCTATCTGGATATGCTGCTGCTCCAATTTGTTTATTGCAGTTACGCCTTTTTTTTTGCAACTACGCAGCCGCACTCATGCGAAATGACGCGAAGACGCGTACCAATAAGGACCAGCAAAGCTTGTCCCAATTCACTATTGTTTAATCAGACCTAAACTCCCTTGTTTTACTGTTGATTGGCTCTTGACATGGAATTCGGGTACGCGAAAGCGGGCGTTGCTGTTTCGGGGGCCGTGGCTTTTTTACTGTCCTTGGTGTATGTAGTGCGTGTTTTGTATGGCCTGTCCAGTGAATCCATGTCAAACCTTGATGTACAGAATTTCTGGGAACAAGTCCATCTGCATCTAGGCGTGTCTATTCTTCCATCAATAAGGATGCCCAATGCTACAAATCTGAGCGGCCTGACACAGGACGAGTGGACGCAAATATACAGAAACTACGACTATGATCCACGGGTGCTTCCAGCACTATGGGTGAGTCGGATTTCCTCACAACTACAGAACACGACGTTTCTCGAGCCAGAATTTGGCTTGCCGTTTCTGTGCGACGCGCTCTTGGGCATTTCCTTGAGCCCCGACTTCCAATCGCTCTCTGGAACCTTGGCAAACTGCCTGTTTTTATTCATGGGGCCATATGATCAAACATCGCTTGAATCCGTTTGTAGAGACTCTTTACGGGCAAAGGGGCCCCCGGTGGAAATCTCAGGACCCGTCGATGCGCCGTTATCTGCGCCGGTCAGGAAATACGTCGGAGCCAATTACTTGTATTATAGCCAGCAGAACCCGTCTAGACTTATTTTTCTTGGGATACTGGAACTAACCTCTTCTGCCTTGCCGAGCTTGGTCCTTACCACGAGCAATGGCGGCACTAAGGACACTTTAGCTTGCATGGTTCGTGACTACTTGGAGGAAAACCCCGAGCCACGGCAAATATCCATCGTCGAACAGCTCGCTAGGCTCAAAAAAATAATGAACGACACAAAAGCCGAAAAGGCGCTTCCCGCATCATTGCCTCATGAACAGGGTGAAGATATTGGAACAAGCTTGTCGCCCGACGACTTTGATCCAGAAATAACCAACGTTGATCGTGGGTGTGCGTCTACATCACAGTCTGAATTGGCACTCCAATCAACACCAAACTGCTCAGTTCCTCCAGGAAAGTACTTTCATGAAGCCGAGCTTGCAGGAACCCACATTGGCTTCCACTACGACTGGCGATTCTTCAGGACCACGAAATTGTCGGACTACGAGCGCAAGGTGGTGCTACATCGGCTAGCCAAAGCGTGGCTCCGTTTCTCCAGGTCTGCCAAATTGAAGACGTGGCTCGCGCACGGCACGTTACTAGGCTGGTACTGGAACGGCATGAGCTTGCCCTGGGACCAAGATATGGACGTGCAAACGACCTATGAAAGCATCGAGAAGATGGCCCGGCTGTACAACCAGTCTTTGGTCGTTGACCTCTGCGACGACCCAGACATCGCTAGCGTTCATCTGTATTTTCTAGATGTGAGTCCGCACTACAGAACCAGGGTACCCCAAGACGGCAACAACGTGATAGACGCACGGTTTATAGACACAGACACGGGTATTTACGTGGACATCACGGCCTTGGCCATCAGCCCCACTTATCAGCAAGCAGGAGAAACGCAGCGTCAAGCAGCCAGCCGGCTCCATGCGCTTTTCCAGCCGGATTACCGCGATCTCCTCCAGTCGGCGCACATGGCACCAGGCGACATGATACACAGCATCCACCTGGAGCTTGAGGCGCGCGAGCAAAAGTGCTGGGAAAGCCGCCACTTGTATAATTGCAAGGACCTGCATTTCCACCGGCTCGATGAGCTAGGGCCCCTCCGACCAACGGCCTTCGAGGGCGAAGCCGCATATGTTCCTCGGGAGTTCCAGGCCGTTCTCCTCAGAGAGTACCCGAAGGGACTCACATCACGGGTGTATGGTGACTGGGTGTTCCGCCCCTTTTTCGGGGTGTGGACGCCCCTTTACAAATGCCGCAACGACTTGTACGGCAGCGAGTGCCGGGACAAGAACATGATTTTGGAGGAGAAGGTCACACGTCTGTACCGGCTTAAGCGAGAGCACTGGTACGATTGCGTGGTCCAGGAGCCGCGGGTGGATCCCTACATTATTCGGAGAAATAATGCGTTGAAGCTAGACGGGGAACAAGTTGAAGCTAGGAGGGGAAACAACAGTTGAAGCTATTCTGAGAAACAACAGTTGATGCTATTCTGAAAAACAACAGTTAATGCTATTCTGAGAAACAACAGTTGATGCTATTCTGAAAAACAACAGTTGAAGCTATTCTGAGGAACAACAGTTGAAGCTCTTCAGAAAAACAACAGTTGAAGCTATTCTGGAAAACAACAAGTGAATGCTATTCGGAGAAACAACAAGTCAATGCTATTGAACCAGACACCAATGCCCAACCTCTCCGTACACCCTGCTGGAAGAAGACCCTCAGACGCTTTCAGGAGTCTCGGGCCCCTGCAGAAAGCCGTTCCGGGCACCGCCAGATATATCCGAGCCGGCTCTCAGCAAGGGCCAGACGATGCCCATGACCTTCCCCACAACAAGGCCCTGGCTGATCGGCCCGAACTTATTGGAGTCTACCAGATGGAAGGCATTGTCGCCCTCCACCCAGAGATGATTGCGGGGAACGAGCGCCTGTTTTTTGGGGTACAGGCTGTCCCGGGGAATAATCACGTCGCCCTGGAGCCCCACCACGCGTTTGGTGACGAGTTTTTCGGGGTCCTCGGGCGAGCGGAACATCACCACGTCGCCCCGCTCGAGCGAAGTGGGCCATTTCAAGTTGTATTTCCGGATAAGCACCACGTCCTTGGCCGTGCTTTCTGTGCCTGGGTTGAAGGTGGGGGCCATCGAGAAGCCCGACACCTGGCACGGCAGGAGCACGTGATCAAACACCGTGAACGCTACGGGGAGCCACGTGACTGCCACCAACGTTCTTTTGAGGTAGGGGTGGACGGGAAAGCCCATGGCGGATTGCGGCAAAAAACTACTGGCTGAGGTTCGATGTGCTTTGGTGCGCAGCTTCAGAGGTGTGCGTAGAGCCAGACTGGGGCCCGATGTACGATCACGAGATTTCGGCGGACCGAGGACTACATGGGAAAACCGGCCCGGGTCGGAGCAGAATTGCTTTTATTTTGTGAATAGAGCTGGTCCTGATGGCGACCGTATTATGGATGGCCCACGAATGCAGTGGTCATGTGACCGTCTGGTTCCCCGGGCCAATCATCAAGCTGGACGTGGTAAGTTCCCAAGAACAGAACATTTTTTTTTTTTTTGTTTTTTTGGAAAGGGGAGCGGAGACCGCCTGGCTGCTGAATCCAGCTGGGCTGTTTTTGACATGATACTGCTTTCTGCTTTCTATGGAGTGGTTGTCTTAGTATCGTATGGCAGATTGGGCAGTGGGGTCGCACTATATTAAAGAGCGATTAAGCCGATGCTGACGGACCATGTCAATGCACCGCAGAGAGGCTCCGTTCGTGATCCACTTCATAATTGCGAATGCATCTATAACTATGTTGCGGATGCTGTTACGGAGACATGCCACAAGACCATGCATTGACGGCTTGGCATTTGGACAGTCACGGTGCGCTTGATGAGGATCAGTGTGCGGCAACTAGGCCGTGGGGGATTTTACACTGAAGCCCATGGCCCGTAGGAAAAAGCAGGGCCTCGCACAATAGTGGGGTTTCCGAGCAAAACGCAATGCGCCGTCGTATTGTGACGTTGCGGTCCGACACCAGTTCATTCATACGAGCGCTTCCCAACCAGGGTTCTCCACCTGAATATGCGTGGTGTCTCCATAGCAACAGACGCCTCCATAGCAACACGCGTTCGGCGGCCGGCAGAAGGATATCAGACGCATCTGCGGTGAATGATATGTCAATCACAGACACCGACTTGCAGTCCCATTCCACCCTTTCTGAGAACAGCGCACAGCGCGGCGAGCTAGCCATGCTACCCTGATCCAATGCTCGATGCTCGCGTTTCCCACGGAACGGGAGGTCCGGGGCCCTGGTCTGCCAAAACCCAAATCTGGGCTCCTCAAAACCCCAGAGTCCAGGGACTCCAGAGACTCAAAGCCCGTGTCTTCAGAACCAAAAAGTGCGTGGTCCAACCCGTGGACTCAGGCCCTAATCCAGCCTACATGGCACCCTTGACCAAGTACAACGTGGCTCCATTCGGAATGCTTGTGCTGACCTTGGCACTTGCCGCTAGCACCACCGGCTCGTCCTTCTCGGCTTTGAACAAATTCAAGCGCTCGCCACTCTGCTGCGTGGCGTTGTTGTGGTTCATGATGTTCATTGTTTCGGCAATGGAGTCGAGCGCACGGCCCACAGACCACATTTTCAGCACCCACACAGCCCTGCGCTCCGTCTCTACCGATATCTGCTCGAGCTCCTCCTCGTTTCGATTAACATAGAGCACCCACATAAAAACACGATCGGCTGCGTTCACGGACGCCGGGCCTTTGGCGGACTTCTTGATCTTGGCCACTTCCGCAGTGGCGCTCACGGCCCTGCTGGCCAGCTTGCCGAAAAACGACGATTTCTTTTTGGCGTCCCGCCTCAACTTCTGTAAGTGGAGGAACTTGGTGAGTTTCATGAGCGGTGTCTTCCTGTCACGTGCCGGCGCTGTGCCCAGCGACTCCAACAGGGCATCTAGCAATTTCTGGTGTCTGGCCCGATCGGGAAATAACGATGCAGCCGAGGGCCCGTTTGATGCCCGGTCGATGCCCGCTGTTTTCGGTGCGTTTTTTTGGCGCCGGCCCACACACTCATGGTTGTCCAAAGTGCGGTGGGCCGAACAGTAGGTGCCTTTGCAAAACTCGCAGTGGAACGGTAGGAAATCCAAGCGGTGGCAAAAGGCGCAGTTTTTGCCCAAGTCCATGATACCCTGGTCATCGTGGGCCCGCTCAAGTGCACTCATGAGGAGGTGGTGCGTGGATGTTTCCTTGCCAAACTGGCCGGTCTGATTTGTGGGGACAGTGGATGACATTTGATGGTGCGGCCCTGGAAGTGCGCGACGTGATGTGGAGCAGGCGAAAACTGATGGTGTTGGCAAGAATGGCCGGCCTGATGGGGGAAAACTTGTTTGGAAAGCTTTTTTTTGGATGAGGAGAGGCTGGCTTGCTTATTTCTGCTTTGTTTTGTTCTGATTTTTGAGTGGCTCTTGTGGACCCGGGACGTCTGTCGGGTGGCAATGGAGTAGAAGGTTCTAGTAATTCTGGAGAGCAGGGTCAGACGAGCAGAACAGCCGCAGCACTTTTTGAGGTCAGAATAATGGAATAGATATGTGGCTTCAACAGGTCCGCGGAATATGGATTTCTGGAAAATAGGGTTTTTGCCCGGAGCCTGGGCCTTATATACGCTTGGTTGAGCCGTGATGGCATTTGCCTTTGGCCGCGAAATGGGTGCAAAATATGCTCCTGCGCTTACTAAGCCATGAACCGAAGGCCGAAGAAGAATCCACAGATATGAGTGCATGGCCGCCACTGCCGACTGAAAATTCGGTATGTATGATTTGTGCTCCAGAGCTGCAAACCATTGGTAGGCGGACCGATGCTCTCACAAATTTCAAAGTAAATTGGATGTGCAGAAACTGGGCACATACACGCAAACGAAGGACTCCGCAGATTCTTCGGGACCAAAATGGATTTCTTCACAATAAAAAAGCAGTTTGTTGCGTATTTGCAGACCAGGATCGCAGCTCTGTGTTCAATATAACTGTTTACAATTTGTTGAGGCCAGAATTAGCCTTGGATTGATATTGCGTGGATGTTGAAATTCCACAAATCATAAGCCGAAAAAATATTTTTGATGACATATTTGAAATTTACTCCGTGATGTTGACCTTTTATGGCCCTTGTACACGAATTTCAGTGAAGAATCTGCTTTTACCGGCTTGGGCACATGGAAGTGACAGGTGCTACTAAAATTGACCTGGAGCAGAAAAGTATTTGCGCGCTCGAGTGTCCGATATGTCAATTCTGACACCGCCCTTGAACCTCTGTTTGATTTTGAGCCAAGGCCTGTGATGAACAGCTCTGTCAATTTTCCATTCTGCTGCTTTGAGATGTTTTATTGAAGGCGAGTTCCATAAGTAGAAGTATTTCTGTTTGGGTGTAGATTCTGCCTATTTAGCTTGATATAGTCATCAAAAGGCCTTGATATGTTTGATTTCAAAACTTGTTGTAGTAAAGGCGTATTTTCATTCTTTGCGAGCGGCAATCAAATGTAAGATGAGTAAAAGCCAAGAAGCAAGAAATGCAAACAAAGGACAAGTTGTAATTGAAGTCCGCCTCTGATATTATGCTGATTACTCCCAAAATCACACCTACTTTATTTGATTACACTTCAAACGTTTTCCAGTGCACGTTTACATGTAGCCTTTTGTGCTCAATTCTCCTTCATTCCGTAAGGTATTATAAAAGTTCAGAATCAAGTAACGAAGGCGCCACGACTGATTCATTTTTAGAAGGGGATTTCCGGGACAATACTGTCATATTTGTGGCTACGTTTCTTACGAAGCTTCAGAAAAAATGGATTAACTTTGCCTGAATATGACACTCGACTAGAGTTCTCTGATAAGCATCTTCCTGTTGCTGTTCATGAGTTTCTTTTTTAACTTTTCCAAAACTTTTAACTATCAAGAACCATTTTCTGGCTTTACTGGTTTCATTTATCTTAGATATTTCAAGACCAGGTGAGTCTTGAAGTCGGGAGGAACTTCAATGTTCGCATTGAAAAACATAGAGTCCATCCTTTTTTCAATTATTGTTGATATTTGACTAGCTGATGAATCAAAAAGCCATAGTGGAACATTAAGAGAATGCTTCATCTGCTACCAACTAATTACTGACAGAGCCGGTCAAAAACTTTGAACAGAAGCAGTGGCGCATTGTCAACATGGTAGCGAGCTCACGAACAGCTGGAACATGAATGTTAATGCTATTCGAGTTATTCTCACCCAAGCACACCACTGGTCCTATAAGACTCATTTAGATTCTGTATGAGCAACTTAGCGTGTAAAAACAAGCCATCTACGAGTCCGGTGGTCATATTACCGGATTTGGCGAGCTGAAGATCAACAGCTGGAGTGGAGCATACTTCAGAAAGATTCAATTCTCAAATTCAGCACTATGGTTTGAAGCTTCTGCAATTTCGAGTTTTGCAAGCTTGGCTAATGTTCGTGCTCAGTCGTGTATCCCACGGCCATATTGCCAATTTATTTGGGTAGGAGAGTTATATATCGAAATAGTGAGAAAAGCTTGTGATTAGAACGGGCCTTTGAGAGTAAAATAGGCAAGAATTGAAGTGGCACGCTATTATTATCCCACGTACAAGCAAAATATACGTTCCATAGATTTCTGTTCAGACTCATGTTTTTCACCAGACCGCCTGGGTCCCACGCAATGGTTAGATGAAGCTATATAACGAAATATTGACTACTGCTTAGATATTGACAAAACTGTTCTAGGTGTCTTTTCAGCTTCAAAGGTGTGCTCATTTTGATAGGGCCAGTTTCTGGGTGAACTTGGCACTCTATCTTGGGGAGCTATGCGTGAAAATTGTAAACGTGGATTCAGATATCGAAAAAGCTTCTGATCGGAGAAGTATAACTCAGCTCATTGAGGAAGCTCAATGTGCCATTTCGGTGACACGCGATCCAGTAGGTGACTCTAATCAGCAGGTTCACTAACCTACGCTCGCATATCAAAGCAGTTGATTTCCACTGACAGCAAAACTACAAAGTGGGGAAAAAATTAAACAAGATTTTACCTTCGCCAGCACAAGGCGTGTTCTCTTTGATTGCCTCGAAGGTGGTTTTCCCACGTTTTCTTACGCTCCATATGTCCATCTTCATACAAGCGAGATGATGCTTCGCACCCAAGACTCATCTCATCACCGGCCGAGCATCATACTACATCTGAGATATCAGAAAGCCTGAACACCCACAAGTGGCAGCGGTTTTTCAGCCAAAAATTTCCTCCACCTTTTTTCTGATTTTCTTCTAACGCAGCATGTATGATATAAACGTGCCGTGGCCCAGTTCAAGCTACGCCCTGGAGCCGTCGCCAGCTGAGCTCACCAACTTCTATAACACCATCGCAATGCTCCATTCTTTTGGGTACAATTACCTCGCAATCAACTTTATTGTGGACGAGGCGGTCAAGCTTCCTGTGAACAGCCCCAGCAAGCTCAACCCGGTGCCAATGGCCGAGCTCCGAAAACGGTTTGGGGCGTTCTCCAAGCTCCGGTTGTTTTCCCGAATCACGCTCGTGGTGTCCGATCCGGCCAAAGCTCAGAGCATTCTGAAAATCAACAACACCGGCGCATTTGACATTGTTGCAGTCCAGCCGACCACGGAGAAGGCGCTCCAGCTCACGGTGACTAATCTCGATATCGACCTTCTTTCGTTGCCCATGGCATCGAGATTGCCGTTTTTCTTGAAGCACAAAACCGTGGGTCTGGCGTTGGCCAAAGGCGTCAAGTTCGAGATCTGCTACAGTGGCCTAATAGCTGGCCCGGCCGGCTACGAGTCTTCCACGGCACTCGGTGCGTCGGGCCATATCAGCCGCAAAAACTTCTTTTCCAATTGCCTCCAACTAATCCGTGCCTCGAGATGCCGAGGCCTAGTCTTTTCCAGCGGAGCCACGGAGCCTTTGCATGTGCGCAACTATGCGGATGTGCTAGCCATTATGAACTCCTTGGGCCTCAAGGTATCCAACAGCAAGGAGGGGTTCCTGGCCCATCCCGAGTCTGTTCTCGTAAAGGGACGTCTCCGCATCAAGTCCCACAAACAGACGGTGATAGTTGGCGACGAAGCAGGCACCGATTCCAGAGCAGGCGCGCTCTTTGGGGGCGAGGATTCCAAGAACGGTGTTCTAGATGATTACAAGAAGAAAAAGGGCGCAGGAAAGAGAAGTTTGGAACACCAGGCCGACAGGGCGAAGCGTGTGAAGACGATGTCGGTTTGATACAGATCATGTATGGCGCAGAGATGAAGATGGTATGGAGCAAAGATGAAGACGGTATGGAACCAAAACGCATTTTGTTTGATGCAGATCAAGACGCACACAGTCCCAATCCCATCAAGGTGGGCCAGTTTGCACGACTGAAGATTGGCTATGTTTCCAATCGAGTCCCTTCATATTGCGGCCGAGCCAACATGAATTCTTGTTTGAGCACATGACATGTAGCAGCTGCAAACGTGGGATTAATCTTGTATGTACATTCGGCACCACCTGTAGATGCACCCTCGTGCACGGGCCACAGCTGGGGCGCGCCTATTATTCTAGTTGAAAATCGACGATTTGATCAGTCTTATCGGTTTGGAGTCTTGCGTTTTCTGCTCGTCGGCTGGGTCACTTCTAGTCTTCCCGTCACCGGGCCCTGCAGGTGCTTTTCGCTCCCCAGCTCGGGGTCGTTTCCGGTGATTTAAAAATATCGAAGGCGGTGGTTTGCGTTTCCGTGGCGGCGGCTGTATAGCCGGAAGCTCCTTATGCTCCATGACTTGCCCTGCTGGTGATTCCAGCACCGGTAGTGTATCGGGCACGTGACTTGCCTGTGGGGGCTCCGGTACACTGGGCGGAAAAGACGAGATATGGTGTATTTTGTCGGCTTTGAAATCACGCGCGGGCCCGCCAGGTGACAGAGGCCGGGATGGCTTGGCCGGGCTTCGCCAGATGCCTCTGTCGGGGCTCCTGGCGACGCCCGGAAATGTATTTCCGGGTGTCCTCTGGGCCGTCTGGAATGGCCGGTACGGGTCGTACGCCCTCTGAACACCGCCAAACATCAACAGCCGCTGCAGCACGTCACGCATGGCCTTCCCCAATATGGTTTTTGGCCTTGGTTTTGGCGTATAACTGCCTCTGGAAGCAGAGTGCTGGGGCACGCGGCGTCGTATAGTCGGGTCTGCCAAAATGCCTTGCACGGTGGTGATGGAGTTTTGGGATTTCTGTTTGCGGAGCTTCTCAGTCATTTTGCGGAGCCGGTCCGCGGACGTGGCTAGAAACTGCTCGCGTTCACTTAAATATCGCTGGTATAGTGCTCGTTTTGGCATCTGGGCATTTTCTCCGGACGGCAAAAGCCGGAGTTTGGCCGGATTGTAGGGCCGGTCCGGAAAGTCCTTCTCAATGAGGCCTCCCCAGAGCTCGTCCGAATGAGGCGTGACTGTGGGGCTGTTTTTTTCAAGGAGTGCTAGCTGTTTTGCATTGAGCCTTTTCAAGATAGGCTGGACTAGATGGTACGGCGTGTCCCCCACGTCGGAGATCCGGCCCGCTTGTTTTATGCACACCGACTGGGAAATCTGGAATAGCGACAGAATGCCGGGTGCCATTCTGTATAGATCTTAGGAGCGGGGTGCTGGATGTGGCTGGATATGTGGATGCCTGGTTTTCAGTATGGCTCAGTCCAGCAGGCCCCGGTGGAGTGCGAGAATCGCGTAGAGTTTTACTTTCTGTGCCTCGGAAGTTTAGAGCCAACCTCTTATTAGGCCAAGCCGGTGGAACAGGAATATACTCAAATTATTATATGCCCTAAGTTGAATGGGGCCTATTTGGGTTTGGAACAATGATCTGCAATAGTACTCTGTCAGATGCACGACTCGATGCGCAAGCTATGGTCAAATGGCTGGGGTTGGAGGAACGGGCTCACAACAAAGCATCAAAGCCCAAAACACAACGGGCATGCCTGGTGGTACTTTGAGGACAAACTTGGCCGCACAGGTGCCAATTGTTTCGATAGGCTTGATGTGCCTTGTGGAACAAGTCAGGGGCACGCATCACGTGACGGTCACGTGATGCGTCACGTGACCATGCTGCCCGGCCTCCGCCGCCGGTCCGCCCGACTCCAGCGCCTGGAAATGCTGCATTAAATACACGATCTGCCCAGAACCATGACAAGCGGGGCCGAGTCTTCTGTGCGGTGGATGTCGAATTTCATCCAAGATTGCGCGGCTTATTAGCAATGCGAGCGCATGCGATAACGAATCCACCGCAGTATTGGCATCGGGGCTTGTATGAGCAAGAAGCAGGCCACGGCACGCTAATCCAGGTTATTTTTACTCCCTCTTTCCAGTTTTGTATTCAGGTCCACTGGTCGGCCAGCCTATGCTTGCTGAACCTTATCTTGGCCGGGCTGTGGTGTAGGGGTGTGCTTATCGTTATCATCGCATATGGCGTTGGCACAGAGAAAATTGTCTAAGGTTTCAATGACCCAGCTTATCTACAAAATTCCAGGGGAAGTATTTGAATGTTTCTGGATCAGCTTCGAATATCGTGTATTGGGGAGCTTTGTACAAGCCAAGATAAATAAGGGAATGGGCCTGTGGGAATCTGGCATACTGGACAGCCCGTGTCCAGGCTGCTCGCCCTGAAAGTCTAAAATTGCGCCGCAATAAATAACGGGGTTCCGTGGGAAACTCGCACCGGGCAGATTCCATGAACAACTCCGGGAAATTAGGGTAAAAATAGAAAAAAAGAAAAAAAGAAAATATCAAAGATCCCTTGCGCATCTCTTGCGGCCCACGGGCCCTCATTCCCCGTTTGGTTGCCAAATCTGCACGGCCTGGCTAAGATCGCATGGTAGAGGCCAGCTCTGTCTGGTTGAATCCACAACTTCAATCCTCATCAGGGATCTTGAACCACATTTTCGGATGTTGCTGCACGTACTTCACCAAGCCGAGCCTGTTGACGAGATTTCGGATTGCGCTCAGTGAATCCATCTTAAAGACAAGCCCAATACTGGTAGATGTTCTGAAGAACTCGATTTCGGGCCGTCTGACTGCGAGAAAATTGTGCTCCAAAGTCCGGGCTGCGAGTGTGCTCACATAGGCCCCGAAATCCAAAGCAAACATCGTGATAAGTGGCACAGTAATGGCAACTATGGCTGCTCCCAGAACTACCGAAATGGCCGATTCTAGCTGCGCTCCGAGGAGGACGGCCCGATCGAAGATCTGATCGCAGAGGGTCAACTGGTGATCAAGAAAAGAGAGCGAAGACATTTGTTGGTGGATGTTAGTGCAAAATCTAACAGCCTGGTTTCAGACGCTAAATGTGCTGGTTATATACTTCCAATATCATGGTGCGAGATGCGACTAATAACTTTGTCTGGTTTAATTTAAGCTTTCGCGGCGTGCACACAGGCTCGCTGTACCTCAGTTATCAGCAGAAAAGTCAAATCCACCACGGACCAGCCGGAGTTTCAAAAAACAAAGGGAGCTATATTGGAGTGTGCTAACCTGGGCCTTCTGGTCCATGTGAAAATGGGGAATATGGGCTAAGCACGGTAGACCTAGCCGTTTCCCAACACGCCTGGTGTGTGCCCATACAAGCATACTGCGCAAAGAACAACAGTTTCGCCCACTAAAACCTGCTCCATGCGACTTCTAATTTTGGCCCAGCTACACTTTTCCTTCCTCACACTCCAACCACAGCCAGAGTGATTTCGGGGCGTCAACAGTGCTCTGTCCTGCAGACAGGTAGGGTGGCCATGAATGTCGGGCTGGGTGTCATAAACATTGGTATCACTGTTGTCATGAGTAAGAGTATTCCATATTTTCATGTATTCTTCTGTTGAGCTCATTGTTGTTGTGCTTTCTTCTTCAACGTTTGATGGTCTTGGATACTTCTTCAAGCTCTTGCAAGACTTCATGTTGCCGCATGGGCCTACGATCTTTCAGCTTACATCGAGGTGCACGGGTGAGTTGCTACTAAGTTTATTTCGGCAAACCGTGTGTGCACGTGCCACACGGGGAGTTTCTAAATTCCAGCTTTGAATAAATCACACCACCGTAGCAAGTTTCCAGTAGAAAACCGAAAACAAAATAAAGCGAAAATTTACTAGGGTCTGAATATTTCCAAGGTTTCTTAAGATTTCCTGCCAGTAGCCCTGGAAGAATGCGTGGCTATCGGGGCTCGTTCACTTCTGGCAACTTGGAGAGATGCGCCTGGAATTTCTTTTTGATTCATTCACTTTTTCGGGTTATTCATTTTGAGTTGCCATGAAGCTGGCCAAGCCGTTAGAGATCACACTCCTCGAATGGCATGCTTCACTTCGGTAGATATATCGGGCAGAAGCATGGGCGGGCCCGGGGATTCTGCATATACATGGCTCAGCCACCTCTAGCGATTGCTCTTGCATATTGCACAGGGCTGTGTGGTCGACTCTCAAAATCCAGGCATCAAGAGTCGCACTGCATTAGCGGAAATTGCGCAATACTTTGCACTGGCATAGCCAGGGCTGGCAAATTTCCCCACAATCTGTCTCTTCGCTTAAAACTGACATTTTCTTCCCCGTCATGGCTCACAATTTGAGTCATGTGGACGAATTTGGATGCATGGGCCAAGCTGCGGCCGTAAATTCAAGGCAAGTTCGGATTTTCAAGGCAAGCAAAGGTTCGGATCCTCAAGGCAAGTGTTACTTCGGATTCACGAAGGGATAAACACCTCAAGTGTTTGAGACAAATCATGTTTCCAAATCTTGCTTGTGAAAAATTAAAATTTTCCTTGTCGCCATTAATTATTTGGCTTACCTTCGTTTGCGGTCAAGCGAAACCAAGAGTCACCGGTACGCTAACTTTGGCCATCTGAGAATTTTAAGCCGCTGAAACACGACTGGATCCACCAACAATTGTTTGGCCCTAATACACGCGAAAGCCCCACGCGGCGACACAGTTTGAAAAACGACCTGAAAAAAAATAAACTCCTGTTTCCCCAGATTGTAACACGTACTTGCGAAAAGATCGGGCGGTGATGGGTCTTCCCAGTTGCGAGACTTAAAACGTTTTGCGTGAACATTCCATGCCTCAGTGAGTATGCCCCGAAGAAAGCTGAAAATACACAGCCTCTATTTGTCCCCCGGATACCTGTCATATCCGAAAATAATCTTGGCCCTGAGAACAGGGCAAATATTCGGAATTTGCACGGCATTCTAGTATTCAACAATGCAGCGTTCGCGTAACTCTCTCGCGCGCAGTTTCAAGAAAAAAAAGCTGCGTGACCCTCCGAGATATCTGGAGCTCCCGATAGACAGTCAGCTCCCTTTTGAAAGGGTTTACAAGATTTAGATAACACTATTGAATGGAGACCCTTCAAGATTCGTGACAAGTTATGGAAACGTTTTCCATACTGTACGCAGGTTTCCAGGCTGCGGGTTGCGATCGCGATCGATTAGATGCCCGCTTGCGACAGACCTGCACGCAGGACTTGCATGTCTTGTACTGTTGTGTGCTGGGCTCTACATTTTACCAGAAGCGATCTTTCCATGCGACAGACATCTTGCTACTATATGTAGAATTGTTTCGGAAACACAACGACGCTTTCAAGGGGAAGGCTTGTCAACTCAATGAGGGCAACGCCAAACTCCTCCTCGTTTTGGGGCACAGCGCTGAATTAGAAACTTCCCCACTATCTTGAGCATTTCAAGGCTTCCAGGTCCGAATCACGCCAAGTCATGGAAAGCGCAAATCTTTTCGAGTCAACTTAAGATCTAGAACAGCCACAAGCTCAACGCGCCATCCAGTGATTCTAGCACAATGGACATGCGTGGGGTTGATGCGGCACTGCTTTGGGAAGACAATAGCATATACACACCTACTGCCGAATGGCGTCAGTAGCTTCCTTGGCAACAGCCAAATTTATTCATCAAAGCAGTAACCACCGCTCTAGTTGAAAAAAATTATCAAGTTCTACTTTAGTGGAAAGGGAAATTTTGCCATTGCTTCCCAATTGATTTGGAAGTTGTCACATCTCCCTCAGACCTGCACCGTGGCTAAGCCTGATGTCTGAGCCGCGTACGGCATACACTTCATGAGGCGCATGGAGACGCATATCAATACAGGCTCTCTCAGCCTGCGCAAGAAAATACAGCCAATAACTGTTTTCAGAGGGATGATTATGAAGAGCTCCAGCCCGGCTATAAAAATTGCTGGGATTTTCTCTGCCACACTAGGTGAAGGTTTTTTTTGACCCATATCAAGTTTCGTCCATTACGATGCAAAATTTTCAAAGACTCCTAGGCTTTCTCTGTCTAGTCGTGAATGTCCTAGCGTATCAATACAAGAGCTTTAGTTTGTATGGCGAGGGGCTGGCTGAAGTGAGATCCTGCCACTCTGTACTTTACTCTTCGGTCACTTTTTGCGAAGGACAAAAACGTCGTGGCTATTCTTGCTATTGTTCAAACGAAAATGCTATGGCATCAATGGCTGGATGTGTGCAGCTGATTCAACAAGACCCTGGAAACGTTTTCGAATGGTTTGTCTCTTATTGCAATTCACGAAATCAGAGCATCACTCAAAAACAGCTTTACGCCTCACTTCAGTACTTTAAGCAATCAGCGAAACCCTTCACCGCTTTGTCAGAGTCATCACGCTCAAGTAAAGACACCTCCAATTCGAATAGCTCCGACTCCACATCCGAGCAACAGAATTCAAACAGTGAGATGTCCAAGAATACTTCCTCCCTAGTGATGCCAACATCGGGAGCTTCATCTCACTCATCAAGAGCAGCGAAATCAAAACGCTTAACAAGGATTGACTATCCAGTTTACGCCAATCACACAGCTTTGAGCTTATACTACCAAGCATATCGTGAGCGTTATGACACCTTTAACTGGGCGTATTGGTTAGCGAATGCCCTCTACGCCTATTGGGCATTTGTGTTCCTCATTGCAGCAGCTTGCAATTGGTCAGTAGTTATCTTCCCCGGATTGAGAAAAATGTTCAATGGAAGACTTTCAAAGACGTGGAGAAGGTATGTAACGTTACCAGCTCTCGTTAAGAAGAAAAAGACAACACACCAGCAATTTCTTGGAATTCTTAACCTTCTTATTCCCACAAGGTTGGAGACTATCATCCTATCAGGGTTCTTGTTGCTAACAGTTCTTTTTAACGCGTTGTACATGCCCTACACAGAAGGCAATCCCCTATTCAGCACCAGATCAATGTTTATTCTCCGTGTTGTTGCTGACAGAACTGGGATAATTGGTACTTTATTGCTTCCAATATTGATCTTGATTGGAGGGAGAAACAATTTCTTGCAATGGCTCACAAAATGGAGATTTTCAACTTTCGTCATGTATCATAGATGGATTGGCCGGGCTATTGTGGCAATGGTTTTTATTCACTCAGTTGCGTACACTGCTTACGTGGTCAAAAAGGGTGGCTATGCTAGCTTCATGAGCCAAGAATATATAATATACGGCACAGTTGCTACCACTGCTGGCTGTATCATTTGCTTCCAGGGTTTGCTCTACTTACGCCGAAATTGGTATGAAGTCTTCTTAGTGATTCATATTTTGATGGCAGTTGCATTTATGTTGGGCACATGGATGCACATACGAATGCGTATGTACATGGAATGGCTCTTTGCATCCGTTGCCGTGTGGTCATTTGACAGACTTGTCAGAATTCTCCGGATGATCTGGTTTGGCTTTCCCCAGGCTACTGTGACTTTGCTTGCCGATGACTGCTTGCGAGTGGTGGTTCCAAAACCGAACCACTGGCCTTCCGTGCCTGGTGGTCATGCATGGGTGTACTTCTGCCACAGTTGGTATTTCTGGCAATCGCACCCATTTACGTTCTTGGACTCCACCGTTGAAGAAAACAAAATTGTCTTCGTTCTCAAGACAAAGAAAGGTGCCACCAATTATCTCACCAAATTGTTGGCAACGAGACCTGGAAAGACAGGTACTATCAGGGTCTGCGTGGAAGGACCATATGGCGAAGCTTGTTCTGTCAAGCACCAGGATAATGTTGTGTTTGTTGCCGGAGGAAATGGAATCCCAGGCATTTTCTCGGAATGCTACGACTTGGCTCAAAAGTCTGCAAACAATGCTAAACAGTGGATCAAATTAATCTGGGTCCTTCGTG